TCATGTCTGCTCTGCTTCACTGTGGTCTCAAATGTTAAGGAAGTCACGGGGGAAGAAACACTATAGAACCATGGCGTGTCATTTAGCTACAGAGGAAAGTCAGAACCTACTCTGACCCCACACTAGTCCCAGCACAGAGAATGTAAAGAATCCATGTTGCTCCACTGCAGAGAGCTAGAAAATACAAGATAGATGGACAGACAACAGCGGTCAAAGCTGAGTGGGGAGCTGAAAACATCACTGAAGAAGCCCCGAGTCCCCACAGGGGCCACCAAGAAAGGCTTCCCCAAGGAAGTGACCACGAGGATGGGTTCTGATGGTTGTATAAGAGTTTTCCTTGTAAGGGAAGAGGAATAAGCCAGCAAAAGCTGTGGTGTCCCCATGGAACCTACTGAGAGCTGGGTGGTGTCAGGGCATGGGACACGGGTGTGAGGGTATGAGTGGTAGCAGGGGATTGGAAGGTGATTTTACTTTTTCTTTCCTTTTCCTTCCTTCTTTCCTCCCCCTCCTCCCCCCCCTCCTTTTTCCCAACATAGGGTTTCTCTGTGTAGCTCTGGTTGTTCTAGAACTCCATCTGTAGACCAGGCTGGCCTCAAACTCCAGATCTACCTGTCTCTGCCTCCCAAGAGTTGGGATTAGTGTGTGCCACCACCACCCACCTGGCTGGAGGGTGGCTTTTCAAGACAGCTTAGACCTAGAACAAAACCCAATAAACGTATAGTTGCTGCTTCCTTCTGACCCCGTTGGCAATTTATTCCTGCCCTGGCTTGTGTGTGATTTATTGACATGTCATGGAGAAGAGTCTTGGCATAGCGGCCACTAGCCCTGGTGTTTGGCAGGGTCCCCTGGAGACCGAGGTTGCAGAGGATTTTTCTTTTCAGCTGTTTTAGGAGGTTTTGTGGACTCCCAGGGGCTGGCAGGGGTTGCTAGGGTGGGTGTGTCTGGGCTGAGCCCAGAACCAGAGGACAGGGAATGAGTGTGCAGTGTCCCGAGTGGGAACGGCTGCAGTGTTCAGATTCCAGCAGAGAGGGCAGGACAGGCTTCTCTTTGTTCCTCTCCCTCCCCCCGCATCCCCACCCCGTGTTTTCCTGCCCAAGCTTAAAGGCGGGAAGAGGACAAAAGAACAGCTTAGAGGAAGAGTGGCAGCTCTCAGCGCCCTTGAAAGGTGGTCATCAGGAGTCCTGCATGATCATGGTGGCGCTGGCCTTTGATCCCAGCACTCAGGAGGCAGAGGCAGGTGGATCTCTGAATTAGAGGAAGTGGGTTCCAGGACAGACAGCAAGGCTACATAGAGAAACACTGTCTCAAAAATCACAACAAAGAAACAAATGAACAATGTCCACAGGGTGGGGAAATACTCCATAGGTGAAATGCTTGCGGTATAAGCATGAGTTTCCCAACACCCACATAAAAGCCAAGTGCATCTGTACCAGGGAGGCAGAGACGGGAGGTTCCCCGGAGTTCACTGGGCAGGCGCCCTAGCTTAACCAATGAGCTCCGCGTTCATTGAGAGTCTGTCTCAGAAGACAAGAGGGAGCACGAAGGAGGTACTCAGCATTGACTTCTGACCTCCCTATGCAGGCAGATATCCATGCATACACAATATACACATATGTATACATATATGAACAGGTACACACGGTGGCCACAGTCCCAGGTAACCATCTCTCCCGAGGACTTAGGTAGGCAGACCTTCTCCCCCTCACCCACCGGAAGTTGAAGTATGGAGATCTGAGAGCCCAGCCCATGCTTTACTGTGTGACTGTGGCAAGTCCATTTCCCTTTCTGGTTTTGTGGCTTTGAATAGCTTTCCACAGGTTCAAGGGTGTCGAAAGAAATCATGGGGGTAAATAGACAAGAAAATACAGTCTAAGGCTGCAACTGTGTGTGTGCAAACATGTGTGTGTATGTGTAAGCGTGTACGTGTATGTTTGTTGGTGTGTATGTGTGTGGGCTTGCATGTATGTCTGTGTGTGTGTGTTTGCAGGTCTGTATGTTTATGGCTGAACTCGGTGTCTTCCATGTTAGGCACACCATCCACCACCAAGCTAACTACCTCCAGGGTCATCAGTTTTCATGCCTCGCATGGAGTGAGCGCAGTGTACAGGAACATGCTGGGCAAGAGGCGGCTCCCTGAGATCACTCTTACAGCAACTTGAAAATGTGTCCAACCACTGCTTACCAAGCAGTCCTGGCTCCTCTGCTCTCAATGTTCCATAGAAGTTTACTTTCCTACCTCCTCGTAATGGGTGGCTCATTCAGCTATGCGTTCTAATTAGGTTAAAGCCTTTAGTTGCTGGCAAGGGGATTCATTAATCTGCAGTTTGTCCTGGCAATGACCTCGAGGGTCCTAGAGTGAAGGTGATGTGGGATGTAGTTGGTTCACAGTGTTGTGGACAGGAGGCATAAATTAGAAAGTAGCCCTTGGTGTCACAGCCCCTAGGGTTTTGGAATAGTTTGTCACCCATGTTATCTAACCCCCATTACAGATCAATGTGGGGCTCTGAAAGACAAAGGGAAATTCAAATTCATGTGGCTTCAGAACACACAAGTTTGAGAGGTATCAGAGCTTGTGCCCTTTGTCAGGGAGGCCACCATAATGGTTGGAGTGCAGGTGTCTGTCCTTGGAGAACCCTTGTAAGCGGCTCAGTCTTTGATGGGAAAAGTATACAGATGCGCATTATCATGTTTTGGCCACTAGAGGGCAGCTGGACCCAAGTTTGTAATTGTTGGAGGTGGGGCAGTGAACTCTGCTAAGCCCCACATTCTAAACCTGTGGGTGGCCACCAGAAATTAAATGTGGGAGTGGAGAAAACTGGGCAACAGCAAAAGGCTTCTGAATGCACAACAACCCAAAATGATCAAACTTGAAATGAATCTGGGCGGTTTCTGCCAACTCTTTTTTTTTTTTAATATTTATTTATTTTATTGATGAGTACACTGTAGCTGTCTTCAGACACACCAAAAGAGGGCATCCAATCTCATTACGGATGGTTGTGAGCCACCATGTGGTTGCTGGGATTTGAACTCAGGACTCTGGAAGAGCAGTCAATGCTCTTAACCGCTGAGCCATCTCTCCAGCTCCTTCTGCCAACTCTCATGTGTTGGTATTGAACATTCACTGTGTACACTTTGACCTACACACGCCATGCCATACACATGAACGCCACCTAACAGCTCACAGAGACTACAGTACCTTGTAAATTGAAGTGTCTTTACTGCTCATATAGAAACATAACAGTTTAATGATGGAAAATGAAGGCAGCATTTTCTTAGTGTTGCTCTTCACCGGCTAAATAGAAACTCAGCTCAGTCCATAGCTGTGCGTACACCAGTGTGGCAAAGTGTGCCTATAATCCCAGCCACCTTACCGGAGGCCCAAGGACACCAGTTCAAGGTCATTCTTGGAAGTTTTGGGCCAATTTGGTATATTCGAGACCCTATCTAAAACAAAACATCTGCTTCAGTTGCTGTCTGGAGTTTCAGAAGATGAAGTCTGACTCGGCAGTAGGGAAACACATTTCTAACAATTTCTGAATACATGGCTGCTGTTATTATTTTAATTTATGCAAAATGGCACTCTAAGCATGGCCAATTATAAAATCAAAATATCCAACAGTTTTAAAAGCCTCTGAAGATACTTTGCATCCTGCAGTAGCAGGTAAACAGCCAAGATTTAGTTACATAAAAACAAATGAGAATATCTATCTCATTAGGATGTAAATTTGCCTTTGTCTTTAACAAACGGTAAAATTTTATGTGTTTCAAAGAATTATTTTAAAATAAATTTCTTTTTCAAATTCACGTTATCTACTTGTTGTTCTGTTGTTTTTGTGACTCTGGGGACTGAACTCAGTTCTATGCATGCTGAGAGAACTGTCACGACACCAATCCCCAGGCAAAATGAATTAATTCCTTTGAATTATTCTCAGTGAGTACTCGATTTGTAGAACTGTTTTGTATACCTATATACACGACGTTGAGTACAAATATTTTGGCTAAAGTGGTTGCAGATGGAAAAATGACAAGAAGCTTGCTCAGAGCTAATCAACACTGGAGGGAAAAGAGGCAGACCAGCAGGTGAAGGGCAGAGATGGATGAGATGCAGTCTTGTTCTGAAGGGAGGAGGGAGGAAGGGTGGATCCTAGATCTTCAGACTGGAAGAAATCACTTCAGGGCATCTAACCTCTAACTGGAAAGACAGATGAGGCTTAGGAGGGTTTTTTTGTTGTTGTTGTTGTTTTGTCTGGTTTGGTTTTTCGTTTTGTTTTTCTTTTTTTGTCGAGATAGGATTTCTCTGTATAGCCCTGGCTGTTCTGGAACTTGCTCTGACACCTGCCTCTACCACCCAGTGCTGGAATTAAAGGCATGTACCACCACCTCCTGGCTTATCGGACAGGAGTCTTATAATGAGTAGTCAGGCAAGGAGAATCCGGGACCCCTCTCCCCCACTTCAGCCTGGGCTACCTGACCTCCAGGAGGTGACAGAGCAGTGGCAGGCCCTACAGAGCTGGCTCCCCAGGATGTTCAGGCTGATTTTGCCACTTCTTTCTCCCCTTAGGGCCTCAGAACATGTAGGGAGAGGAAAGAACTCAGACTGCGCCCCTCCCCCTCCACTGTGATTTCTTGCAGGTTGCCTGGTAACCAGGGCATAGCCAGCTTTGAAAACCTAAGGCTTCAAGGGGGAGAGAATGGATCAGAGGAGGAGAGGATCCTGGGCCCACACATTCATCATTCAGTCACTGTACAGAAACATACTGAGTGATTCTTGTCAGGCCCTGGGACCCAGAGAAGAATAAGATCTGTGTCGTTCAGAACTGTACTGTCCAATATGGTAGACGCACATTCAAATGAAATAAAGTGGAAAAAAAATCCAGGTCCTTGGTCATCGTAGAATAATGGTAAGTGCTCGGGAGCCACCTATGGCTGGTGGCTATTTTATTGGACAGTGAACATATAGAACGTTTCCATTATCACAGAAAGTTCTATTGGCCAGGCCGGAAGCTCCCTCGCCAAGGAAAGCAGCCCATAGGAGAGCAGCCCAGATCCCACAGTGTTGGGAGGTATGGCATCCTCACTGGCAAAAAGGAAGCGGCAAGATGATGGGTAGAGAACGTGCCAGGAGAACATTTTGCCCAGCTCCTGGCTCAGAGTGTTTAGGGCATGTCCGTGACTGATGCTGAGAGGATCTGCTTACATGCCTGGCTATTGCAGAAGACGCTGAGTTTCCCCAGCTTGGCTCAGTCCCCGGCACAGAGTAAGTACCCAGCCAGTGGTGGCTCTTCCCACCACAGTCCTTCTTATACCATCTTGTGACAGAGCAGCCCAGTTCTGGGGAACACAGGAAAGATTATTTATCTCAGCCCAGTGGCCAGAAGATGCTGAGAATCTGTCTCATCAGATACAGCTTGGGTTGGTTTGTGGATTTCTTTGAGGTCAGGCCCTGGGGCTGGCTATCTCCATACCCTGAGTCTTAGTACCGGATCTGTCTGAAGCAAGCTGGGTCTCGGAGAATGGATTCGAAGGGTACAAATGCATACTCAGAAATTCCAACATGAAGCACAATCGCAGGATCATGGACACAGATCACCCCGGGGTCAGCAAAGCCTTAGGGCTTGCAGAGGGAAAGCAGGAGGGCATGTGGTAAGCAGGGACATCACCGTTGGAGTAACTCAGTTCTTTCTTACTGGGGATACTTCTCATGGGTCCAGTCTTAAAGACAAGAACAAATGGGTATGTGACATCCCCTCCCTAGGTGGTTCTCTGTTTAGGGCAGCTCAGCTGGCTGACACCCATAGCTCTGTAGGATTCCAGAGACTCAGAGCAGCCATTCACTGCCACCCACTCTTAAGAGGCCAGAGCCTCCCTGCCCAGAGCCCAGCCCAGCTGCTGGGGACACAGCGAGAGAAACAGGTCAGGGGAGAACTTGGCTAGTAGTCTGCGATTGGGAAGCTTAGGGAAAGATAGAGAGAGGACCCAGAGAAGAGAAGTCTCTGAGCCTGACCACACGGCTAGCCTCTTGGTGCAGAGGACGGGGTGGGGTCTGCAAGTGGTCCAGCTTCCTTGACTGAAAACCATGGGCTTCTTTTCTGTCTTCTGATTCAGGTATGTGTGTGTGCATGTTTTTGTGGCTGTGTGTGTGTGTGGGGAGGGTAGGACCAAGGTGTTTATGGGACATGGGGCTCACTGAGGAGGCAGGGATCTAGTGACACAAGAAGTGACCTCGGAAGCTCTGGTCCTTGGGCTTGTGGCTAAGTGCAGTGTGAATATGGTGTGTATGTCCAGGTGTGAGCGGGAGGTCAGATCAGCAGGGATATGCCAAGTGGAGAAGAAGCAGAGGCTGGAGAAATACGTGGCTAGAGATGATGGGCTGAGGATACCCCTTAAGGTGGAACAAGGGTCCCCATGCTTCCTGCTTCTCCTGTTCCAAACTTCAGAGAGACAGGTATGATACCACTCAACTCTGCCAACCCCTTTCACTCAGATAATCACCCCCTCCTCCTCAGTGTTAGCCTGACTCCCCAAGCAGCAGGCTGTGGTGTTGAAAGTAATGGAAGTAACTTTGTCCCAGAGGCAGCACCAGCCAGCCTCCTGGGAACCTTGGAGACCACCTCGGGGACTATGGCTCATCTATCCAGATTATCTGGTAGCACTGGAGCATCAAGCTGGGGACCTCCCCTCCCCCTTTTCTCAACTCCCTGCTTTGAGGCAGCCTTTTCAACCCTATCCCTGACCCACTGTGCAGACCACAGAGTCCTTCAGTCATGCCCCACGGCTCCGCTACTCTCAGATCCATTCCCAACATTTCCCCTTTCAACCTGTCTTTGAATGGTTGTTCCTAAGAGCAGAGGGGACCAGCTTATTTTGCAGGACCTGAACAGCTTTGCAGCCTTGCCTGGACCCTGTTCACCTTCAGCCTTATATCCACCCTGCCACGCATAGCCTGTGAGCCCTGCACTGGGGCTTTCAAAAGGAGGCTTTCCCTTCTCATCTGTGGGTTGTCCTTAGGAGCTGTCCAATGCCAGACACAGCTGACATCCACCCTCTTCAGCCTTCCCCCAAATGTCTCTCCCCAGCACTCGTCCATCGAAGGGGCTCTTTCCTGGTTTGGGGCAGGAACCCCTGGTTCAGACTCTGTTCTCAGTCCATCTGGACATCCCACAGCCTCTGACCCAGATACCTGGATTCTTGCTTTGGTTGCTGCGGTGACTTCTGCAAAAGACAGGCAGATTGCCTTCCTCCAGGGTTCTGGAATATGTATATAACCTCCACAGAGCTGCCCAGGAGAGCGGCCACCCTCTGACCCAAGAAAAGAGAGAGCTAAACTCCATCCTGGGTTCTCTGATGTCAGGGGCAAGCTGTTTGATGGCAGTGCCTATAGTGTGACTGCTGAATGAGCGGCTGTGTTGAGTTGTGTGTCAATCTGTGGCAGGCAGAAGGAAAACACAAACTCTCCTAAGGAGTCAACAGGCCCCCAAATTAGGTTTCCTTAGGCTGACAGCGCCATCTGCTGGTTGGGAGGAGGATAGCTGAGCCCTTGTCCTTGTCTGCCCTCCTTCCTTAGGGAAAGCTGGATAGCCCGGATGAACCACGACTTTGCACCTGCTCCTCCAGAGATGCAGCCCCACAGGGCTCCAGGCCCCAGAACTTCTTTCTCTCGCAGCCACATGCTGGGGCACCACAGCCACCAAAAGCTCGCTGCAGATGTGTCCCCCCTCATCCCCGTCATCAAGAAGACTGTGCATTTGGATGCCTTCCCCCAAAGCAATGCTCTACAGAATTCCAACCAACCAAGCATTAGATCCAGGGCCTGGAGTATGTCCCAACAGGGCACTGGCATGGGATCCCTGAGATCCATGACTCCCAATAGCTGTATCCCCAGGAAACTCAGCTCGATTTCCTTGACAATTCGCCAGAATGTCCAAACACGGCCCCTAGATGCTTCACTTTCTCATTGGGAAGAATTGCCCACTATGCACAAGGAGGCTGTCACCCACAGAGAAGGAAGGCACTCTGCTTCAAGTCTGCCACTCATGGCTCAAGTGCCACAGGTCAGGACCTCCTCTGAAGGCCATGGGGACCCAGACCTTACCAAATTCAACAGAACACCCACGGGGGATAAGCCTCTGGTGTCTTCATGTCTGACTTTACCTTTCCAAGCTCAGTTCACTCCGAGTTCACCAAGCCTTCCAGTGACAGGTCCCATGGGTCACGTCCATACCAGAACCTCTCCAGGAAGAGGCAAGTGCAGGTCCAGGGGTATTCCCAGATCCCGAGCACACCTCCAAAGGGCTACCTCTGCTACAAATTTGTCTGTTGTGAGCACAAAACTAGATAAGGCCAGACATATAGGCACAGTGGCTATCAACAGACCAGAGTTAGCTAACAATATGCCCACACCAAACCCATCCAGACTGGTTAGAAGCACAGAGCTTCCTATTCTGGATGCCAAGATGGGCCTGGCCATCAACTTACCTGTAGTATCCAAGTCAGGAAAAGCCACAGATTCGATTATAGCAGGCACAGTCAGGAATTTAGCTAGAGCAGGGACAACTAAGCCAGGCCAGGTTATGAATTTGGTAACTCCAGAGTCAGACAAGCAGGAAAACGTCATGCTTTTGACCACAGAGGGCTCAAACACAGCTTTGCCAACATCGGATGAGGCCAAGAGGGACATAACCAGGTTGGACACAGTAAAAGCTTTGGCCAAAGCCACTGTAGGCAAGCCAGACACAACTATAGATTCTCCTGCGTTGGACCCAAGCAGACTAGGTACAGCTGTGGATTCAGTTGTGCTGATGTGCCCAGACTTAGCCAGTGATGAGACCAAGCCACACACTGTCAACAATCTGACTGTCCCAGACTCTGCCACCTATGCTACCTCTCCTCTGATGCCGAGCAGAAGCACAGACCCAGCCCAGGATGACATTGTGGACGCTTCCACAGACAGTCCCATGGAACCTGCCTCGCTGAACCTGGCCAGAGAATCCAAAGGTAAGTGTAAGAGCTTGGTTGGGAAGACCCTGCTGCTGGGCAAGCAGGGATGCCTCTGTCTCAACGGGTCATGAAAGAGAATGGAGACTCTCTGGTCACGATTGACTAGGTGGCAGAAAAAGGAACAGAGGTTGAGGGGCTGAAGGAGAATAAACTGGGCCGAGGGAAGCCATCAGGAGGAAGGCTCACAGCTTAGGAATTGCTGAGTCCCCTTCTGACCATTATCTATGCTTGTTTCTTAGTTCTCTAAAAAGTCAGGATAATTGGGTGATTAATAGGTGAGTCCAGCTTTAAGGAAAGTCTATCTGAGATTGAGGCCCCCATGGTCTACAAGAGCAGGTTCTAGGATGGCTAGGGCTACACAGAGAAACCCTCTCTGCACGACCCCCCCTTTCCCCCCAAAGTCTAATTAACAGAAACACAGATGTGCAATTTGAAAGAAATGTTAGTGACTGGGAGGTAGAGAGGTCACAGCCAGCCTTGCTTTGGCTCTAGCTCTTTAAAGTTGGAGGTGTGTGTGTGTGTGTGTGTGTATGTGTAAATCCTACACAGGTCTATAAACACAAGGTCAGCACAAGGGCTAGAAATTCTATGGCTGTCTCAGCTCAGATACTGGGTCAGGAAAAAGGCTTGGGAAGTATCCAGTCCAGTGCTTGAGCTGAGTCCTCGGCTTGCCAGAGCCTCTCCTGTCTCACCGTGCACACAGCTTGGTCTTCACTCTCTGCTGTGGTACCCCAGCTCTCCGGCTTCAGCTCATCTCTCTCCCCTGAACTTTGCTGGACTTCTCCCCCTGGGTATCTCCAGGACGGACATGTCTGGAGGCAGGGAGCCCTTTTCTTCTAGAACCAGCTGCTGCCCTCCCCCAACCTCCCTCCCTCAGCTGCAGGCACCACGGTGATGGGAATCTCAGGTAATCAGTTTTCCTCAATTCTATACCCCATTCAGTCTATTGCCAGTCTGACTTACGTACCTTCTCTGTCCTTGACCATGTGGAACTAACTATAACTATGTAGATTAGGCTGGATTCAAATGATATCCACCCATCCACCCATCCATTCACCCATCCATTCATCCATCCATCCATCCATCCATCCATCCATCTAGTGTTTCTATGTAGCCCTTGCTGTCCTAGAACTAACTATGCAGATTAGGCTGGTTTCAACCGACAGAGTTCCCTAACCTCTGCTGGGGATTAAAGGCGTGCACAGCCACATCACACAGCTGTCGCCACTATGTATCTATCCTTCTCCTTCTCTCCTCCTCCACAAAGCTGCCACAGGCACTTAGTTGTTTGGTGGCAGAAGGTAAAGGTCTCACTATCCCCACCCCTGAACCCCACTGTGCAGCCTGCCTCTCTACCCTCTTAGATGGGGTAGCCCTTGTCTGCCATCTTTCTTGCCTCAAACCAGGTCCACGTTCTGGGTGATCACCTGCACAGTGCTCTGCCCCCTCCGGGCTTTCCTGCCCGCGTTGCCCTTCACAGGAAAACGCCCCTTTATTCTTTTTCTCCCTTCTCCATTTCCCTGTCCATGTTGGCCCTCACCTGCTCCAAATCTTCCATTATATCTCCACGGTGCCTGCTTTGCACTCCACAGCACCTGTGAGAACCAACTTTCTGTTTTCTCTATTAAGACCCAAAAGCTTTAAAGTCAAGGAGGGTTGGTCATCCTCAGTCCTGTGCTCCCAGGGTTGATCGACTAGCCGTCGCCAATGCATCAAAGTTTTTGGGTGGGTTAGGAAGGCTCGGGGAAGTTCAAGGTTATAGGGTTCAGCACCCAGGCTGGGAACTGGGTCTGGAACCCAGTTCTCTCGATTCGGAGCTCTGTCAGCAACCGCGCCTGGGCAGAACCGCGGTGAGCCAGCGCAATATCCCAATCACCGCGTGACTCACGCACGCGCACCGTTGCCGGCAGCTGCCACCGGTCTCCTGCGACCTGGACCCGGTAAGGGGCTGGGGACAGGATCTGGAGAGACAGACAGGGACTGCGATGCAGGCACCTTACCCGGCCGGGCATCCCCAGCTCCGGCACCGGCTCCCGCGTGCTGGCGCGGGAGCTGCGGGAAGGGGAGGGGCCCTCGGCGAGGCCAGCTTGCGCGCGGGTCACGTGGTGCCGGTGGCAGCGGCGGCATCGGTGCGCGCGGGCAGGGGCGGCGCGGCGCCGAGCGAGCGGAGGCGAGGTCCTGGGCGGGCGCGGGGCGCAGGGGCAGCGCGGCCGGGTGGCGGGTCGGGCGGGTAGGCGGTACGGCGCCGAGGGGCGAGGCCCGGCTGCAGGGGCCGCTTGGCCCAGGGAGAGCCCGCGCCCGGCTCAGCCTTGCAGCCCCGCGCCCTGAGCATCTCCCGGAGGACCCGAGACAAAGGAGGATTCATGTCCAAAGGTAGGGCTGTCGCTTGGGCGCCTGGCACCAGCCTGGAGGAGGCTGCGGCCCCAAGCCCTACCAGAGGGAGGGTTTGCTGTGCTGAGGACCCCACGTGCAGTGACAGTATGCATGGCCACACGCACACCCGGTGGCACACACTTGGAAGCATAGTCTTGGGCAAAGGCACACAGAGAAGCTTGGGGTGGTATGGAGACCCAGATGCTTAGAGAAAGCCCCCGCTGGAGCACACCAGGGCACGCACACACATGCATAGCATGTACTCCAAGCTCGGGTACCAAAACCATTTACAACCAGTATGAGACCTGTGCTCTGACACATCAGTCAGTCCCCCTTCCCCCACACAGAGACCAAGCACAGAGACAGGCACCAGCTGGTGGTCTCCAAGGGAACTCATTGGCCTCCTGACTAGAATGGGGGGAGGGGAGGGGGGAAACCCAGGGCCCTTTGCTTCTTTTAATGGAGAAGGAGTTGTTTCTTTCTCTCTTTTCTTTTTTCTTTTTTTTGGAGCTGCCCAGGGCTGGAACTGGGATGAACTGGAATTGGCGGTGTGATGGGGGTGGGATCTTAAAGGCTGCTGGTTACCGGGGGCTGGATAAGACCCCTCAGCTTGGGAGGGAAGAGAGACCCCCTAGCATTAAGCTAAGGGGGCAGGTACTATTCTTTAAAGGTCTCCTCCTCCTATTGCCACCTTTCCAGCAGAGGGGTGGGGTCTCTCGTCCAGACACAGACAAAGCCATTTATTTTCCTGTAGGAGAAAGCACTACATCCATGTTTGCCTTAGGGATGGAGTCTGAGGGGCCAGAGCTGAGTCAGATGGACTGTCTCTCTTTCTGGAGCCTTGGTGTGGCATGTACCTAGCAGGAAGTGCTGCAGACAGATGTACCCCTTTCTGGGAGATTGGGAGCTTAGGAGGGGGCCCTCAAGGACCATCTAGCTGCTTTCTGTTATAAGCAGTGGTATGAGCTCTTTCCCTATTCTTGGGCCCCCTGCTAATCTCAGATGCAGGGATGGAGGAGGTTTCTATAGGTATATCTACCTTGACTGTGGCTCACACAGCAGCTATTTGTTGGTTGGGGGTGGGGTCTAGGTGCTCCAGACAGGAAGCATCTTCCAAGGAAGGAGAGTGTTGTCTGCAGGGACACCTGCCTGGTAGGACTGTCATTCATCCACCATCCATCCATCCATTGCTTGTTGAGGGTCTGTGATATGCTAGGTGTGCTCGCTGGGGACAGAGGCATGGCTCTTTTCTCAAAAAGGGCTGGGAACTTGCACATATTCACTGACAGAACATTACATGCATGGTTTTGCATGGCTTTCACAGTAAACCAAGTAAGGCAGATTCAAAAACAAAGACAAAAACAAAACACTAGGTTTATAGGAATCACTTAGCCGGGATCTATGCCTGTGTCAGCTGCCTATCCAAGGATGGCCTGGTGGGACCAAGGGAATGAGAGGATCCGACATGGAGCCCTAGAGGCCAACCCCAGAGCAGCATTTGCTCTGCTAGGTCTTGGTCTATTGGTTAGGCACCCACACAGACAGTGGGTCCTCCGGGACAATGACCTTGTCTTGTATACAGATATATCCTTGGCATTTACTTTAGTGCTTGGTTTAGTTGGGCTTTCATTTGACAGCCTATGGAATGGCCTGGAATGAATGGATATGCTAAGTACCACAGAACCTACAGAGGACTGAGGCAGCCTACAGTGAGGGGCCGCCACATCAAATGGGAAGACTTTCTGTGAGGAGTTGTTACTTAGTGGGGTTTTGAGGAGGGACAGGGTGTTTGAGCAAAGCTTGTGACACAGCAGTGTGTCTGTGGCACTTGTAGCCCATCAGTGGCTTTTGTTAGCCTGTGACTGACATGTGGTCAGGAGGAGGCTGACTTGTAGTCGTTCTGTACCTTGTTCATAATGGATGCTAACGCTGCTCTTTGGAAGAATGAATGTGAGATCCACTCCTGCCCTGGACTTACATCAAGCTGGTCAGAGTCTAGGAGTTATTTAGGCATTCGGTCAGCTCCTTATTTCAACCAGGGTCAGACAGACAGAGCCTTGTAAGCCACGATGTAAGGACACATGCTTTGTAAGTATACTTATAACCCTCACATATATATACAAGTACTCTTGCCTGCATCCCTGGCCACTTGTGTCACAACACAGGCTGTGGGTACCACATGTGCTCAGCAGGCACGCAGAAAACCAAAAGGGCCAGGCTGTGAGAACAGCAGGAAGAAGAAACTGGTTCCCAAGGCAGATGTGGTAAAGGGGTACATGAGCCATGTATGGCTAGGAGGAGCAGGCTCGGGCTGTTCAGAGTCAGCTGTCACAGGGCTGAGCCAACTCTCCTGCCCTCTGGAGCCACCTGGCTGGCAACAGCTTCCTAGGAAGCAGGAGGGAACAGAGCCAGGCTCTGGGGAGGTGTTAAGGCTTTGTCAGATTTAGCTGTGGCTGAGGAGGACAGGAGAAAAGAAGAGTTTCCCATCCATCAGGAAGCACATCTTGCCAGTACCAGGAGAAGGACCAGGTGGTGGGGGTACCAGAGCAGACTCCTGCCTGGGCTTGGCGGTGGGGAGGGAGACACATTCCCACTTCCTCCTGACCATCTGCTGCTCTGTCAACTCTCCTCACAAGGCTGAGACGCAGGGTGGTAGTCATGAACCACCCTAAGATGGCAATGCCTCTAGAGAACATGGAAACAAAGACTATGTTTGTGAAATTAGCCACTGGGGGCACCTCCCCCTCCTAAATATGTTCAAACCTTCCCCTCTCCAGAAAGTCGAACTTGGCAAGGGTGAAAGGCCATAGGTCTGTGAGGCTGTACTCTGGGCTTATAAGCATTGTACCTCATGGGATGCTCACCACAGCCTTCATCATGGCCCCACTACCATTCTCCAGAGGAAGAAGTAGACTGAGAGAAGGGAAGTGACCCACACAAGTCTACAAGCCAACAGACAGCAGAGCTAAGATCTTTCTCAATGCACCCCCCACACTCACTTTACAGAGAGGGTACAGAGAGGGAACTGGAGTTGGTCTCTTCTTGGACTTACTCTGTTGGCCAGTGTGACCTGCCACATCTCTCCTATGTGTGAACACATCCACGCTCTACCAAGGGGACCTTTGATCTTCTTCTCTGGGGAGGGAGGGCTCTTTCCTCAGCCTCTCCTTCTGTGACTTACTAGTATGAAAGTGTTATCATAGGGAAATAGTACTTGTTTGGGTCCCAGTCCTTACCATGGGCTCTGTAGACTCAAAACTCCGCTGCACATCAGCTGTGCAACTCATGGCAAAGAGGGGAAACTGAGGCTGTAGGTGGAGTAATCCTTACTCTGCAAAGAAGGGTAGCTCCGACGGCTTCTAGAAGACCAAGTAACTGAGGCTGTCGGCAGTTACTAGACCTAGTGACGTAGACCTAGGACCCTAAAGGTTCTCTGTTCCATAGTTGGGAAGGTGAGATGCAGGGCTGAGTAACTGAGACGTTTTCATTGGGCCAGTGCTCTTTTGGAATGGAGTTCTCCTCCCAGAAATATTTGGTACTGTGCAGAGATACTTTTGGTGGCCACATCTGAGAGGCTCCTTCTGGAAACTAGTGGGGACTGTGGATGCTAGTAACCACCCTACAGACACAAGACAGCCAGGGCTGCTACAGAAGATGCCCAGGCATCAGTAGGGCTAAGGGGAAGGGCCCTTAGATGGCACACACAGGTGTAGTACTTGGGAGCAGGTTCAGGATGAACCTGTGCCCTCTTCCGGCCTCTGAATCCACATGGCACACACACTAACATTCAGGCAAACACTTCTATGCATAAGGTGAAAGTAAATAAATCTTTACATAATAAACAAACCGGAGAACCTCATACTGGAACAGATTTTGACACTGACCTAAACTCTGGCCCTTGAGCAAGTTCTCAGGGCATCAGTGTTCCCCCATACCTAGTGTGGGACCCAGACTGGATGATGTTATGGTCTCATCCAGTTCCAACTCCGTGACTCCATTTCAAGATACTCTTGGTCTTCCGTGAAACCCTTGTTCTCTTGCCACTCACCCTGCCTATCTCTCCCACCTTGGCTTTTCAGGGCTCCCAGAGGCTAGGACGGACGCAGCCATGTCAGAGCTGGTACCCGAGCCCAGGCCTAAGCCGGCGGTACCCATGAAGCCGGTCAGCATCAACTCCAACCTGCTAGGCTACATTGGCATTGACACCATTATCGAACAGATGCGCAAGAAGACCATGAAGACTGGTTTTGACTTCAACATCATGGTCGTTGGTATGGAAAGCCATGGGGTCACTGAAGGCCTAGTGGTGGGCAGTGCCCAGGATCCCATTTCTTTCCCCAGAATGGCCTGGCTTCTCTAGGGTGAGCTCTTTCGAGGAGAGAGGATTTCAACATACTGATCACAATGGTCTGATCCCCTCCTCCTAACCTGCTGACACAAGGATGGGAGATTTGGATGGATCGTCAGCCTAGCTTCCCCACTAACTGAGTGTAGATAGGCAGCCTCTTGGTCACTCTGAGCTCGGTCACTCTTTTAGGTTTGTGGAATGGTAGCCCTTTCCCACTTCTAAGAGCCATGGGAGGACTGGGAGAGACATGGTTGTCTTATTCATGTTTTGTAGAACACTAAAGCTTCAGAATTTTCCAGGGTCTTGGTCAGTGAGTAGCATCAGTGAGTCACAGAATGTAGCAGAAAGGTGCATTTGTCTAATGTGAGCTGTTCCCTGAGTGTGCAAACAGAGAGCGAGGCATCCTCCTCCCTCCCCCTTCTCCCAGTCCAATCAACAAGCCCTGTCCCTTTAACCTTGTAAAGGTCTGCTAGGTGTGTCAACTTCTGCCCATCCCTCCATCACTATCCTAGGCTGAATAGGCTGAGCTAGGGTCTCACCTGGATTACTGGAACTCCCTGACTCAGTGCTGCTCACAAAGTGCTGACCTAGAGCAGGATAAAAACCGTGGCCAGGGTAGAAATCCTCCCAACGGTTTGCTGCAAATCTACCAGTTAGCTGACAGTGTGCTCTCTGAGGCAGATGTTTAACTTAGTACCGAAGTCTTAGCTCAAGAACCAGAAGCAGTTGGTTCATGGACACTTACAGCTGTGGGACAGTGGAGGTGACCTTGACCCTCCTGGTCTCCCCTCCTCTCCAGTTCCTACTCCACTGGCTACCCAGTGGCTCTTCCAACCTGCAGAACTCACTGAACCATCCATCCTAATTCTGTAACTCTCTTCTAACCTCGGGATAAATTTAGACTCGTATCCCGACTGGGAGCCGCTCCAAGTCAGCTCTTACCAGTTCCCACTACACTGCGCTCTGCACACTGAGGCCCTCGACTCGCTGTGCCCTTTTCTATAGAGATGCTATTACATGATGGTTTAAGTGGCTTTTGCCAACTCCCCAGGTGGGATGAAAAAAATGCATCTGTTTGCCACTCCTAGTCTCTGCTGGTCCCCTCCTTCTTTATCCATCTATAGAGACAACGGGGATCACATGACAAGCCCAAGGCAGTGAGAGCACCTCAGTTGGTGTCTAGAACCCTGGGCTCTTTCCTCTCTGCCTGGTCACTCCCCCTCCCCCTACCCCAATATACTACACTGATGCTTTAGACCAGCCCTTCTTGGACTTTATCATCCAGTTAATTCCTCTTAAAGCCCAGTTAAGCCACAGGTTCTGAGTTGTGGCTCTGAGGTGGAACTTCTGTAAACATCTGGGTGAATGGCAGCATTGGTCACCAGCTACAAGGTGTTCTGGGTAATTCTTATGCGTGAGAACCGCTGCTCAGACCTGTGGTTCTTGAGCAAGCTTTCACTTGGAGGCCCTCTTTGAAAGCAGAGGTATGTAACTAACACAGGCAGAGAGGGAGCCACGGAGGGAGGTGCTGTGGTCCTGCCTGCCTGGCTTCCCCTCCTCTCCAAGTACTTCCTCCAGTAGGCCATTAGGCCTTCTCAGAACACAATTTAAAAAGTACTGGGGGTTGAAACAATGGCCCAGTAGGCAAGAGCACTGGTTGCATGAGGAAGTGAGTTTAACTCTCCAGCATCTACATAAAAAGCTTGGCGCAGCCAGCTACACTTTTACCTGTGGCCCTGGTACAGTGGGAAGCAGAGATGGGAAGCTTACCGGGCCTTGCTGGTCACCAGCCTAACTCCAGGCTCAATCAGAGATCTCATCTCAAAGGAATAAGGTAGAGAGTGGTAGGGCAGCACACTCAGTGTCCTCTCCTGGCCTCTGCAAGCATGTACATTGGTACACATACATGAGCATATAACATACATACTCCATCACCACCCATATATACATACACACATACGCATACACATATACACATTCACACATATGCATGTTATACATGCATACATATGCATGCACACACATATATACACATAAGCGTATATCACACTACATATATACTATGTATACATATCACACATACCACATATATACATACATAGGTATACACATATACATATATACATACATAGCACATAATACACATATCACATATACACAGACATACAACACCACACACACATGCATACACATACAACATGAGCATATAACACATACATATATACACAGAATACATATATACACAGAATACATACATGCATACATACATGCACAGACACATACACACACACACACACACATATGGCATGGTTCTTGGGGTGTGAGCCCTGGTCTTGCATGTACTAGCTCTGCTGCCTCATACATGTTACATTAGAAGAGGTTTCTAGGGCCGTCTCAGCTACGCTGTGAGACACACAGGGATGGTATAAAGAATGGCTTTAGGGGTTGGGGATTTAGTTCTGTGTTAGAGAGCTGGACTTGTCAAGCACGATTCCCTGGTTTTCAGTCCCCAGCACTGGTGTGTGTGTGGGGTGTATAAAAAGGCCAATTTTATCAACAGATGTAGAAGTGCTCAGGCACTATGAGTCAGGGTCTGAAAGTAAAGTAATTCTTCTGCTTTCACTTTTACTGTTATTAAATACAGAAAAGCTAAGTAGAGCAAAACCACAAGTCAAACCAAACCAGAAAACTACACCACACACACCACCCAGATGCACAAGTTGTACTTTCTCCCAGTGGTCCTGGAGTCCATGAAGGGACATGGAATCCAACTGTCATTTCCCAAGGCCCCTCTCCATTAAAGAGACACCAGTTCCTACCTGATGCTCATTCCTCAAGGGGTGTTCAAATAAAGCTTGGCCTGGACCACAGCTCTGGAATTCTGTAAGCTCGCAGGAGGACTCTGCAGCTCAGGAGGCAGATGTGGGGCCTGTCTCCCTTTCTCCGTCTCCCCTTCCCGTGCTGTAGGCCAGAGTGGACTGGGCAAGTCAACGCTGGTCAACACGCTATTCAAGTCCCAAGTGAGCCGAAAGGCCTCCAGCTGGAACCGGGAGGAGAAGATCCCTAAGACAGTGGAGATCAAAGCGATTGGCCATGGTGAGGACTAGGCCAGGATCCTCTGTGGACGTCATTTGGAGGGAGGGCTGTACCAAGCAAGAGAAAGGAAGGGGGCTTATTGGGGACTAAGGTGTGGAAGGCAACTGCAATGTGGAATTGAATCCCAGATTTGTTGGAGCAAACTCCTTAGGGTGCTAGTCCTAGATAGTGAGGTAGGAATAGGAGAGTGTGTGTGTGTGTGTCTGTATGTGTGTGTCTGTGTCTGTATGTGTGTGTTGAGGGGTATAGAAATGAAAGAGGTGGGGCTGGAGAGACGGCTCAGCTGTTAAGAGTGCTGACTGGTCTTCCAGAGGTCCTGAGTTCAATTTCCAGCAACCACATGGTGGCTCACAACCATCTGTAATGGGATCCAATGCCCTCTTCTAATGTGTGTCTGAAGACAGCTGCAGTGTACTCACATACATAAAAATAAATAAATCTTTTAACAAAAAGAAAAAAAAGGGAATGAAAGAGCTAGTTCTTGAACTAGGTAAGAAAGCCCAGGGAGGATTCAGACAGAAGCAGAAACAGGAAGAATCTGGGCACGGTCTCCTAGGTGTAATGAACAGCGTGCATAAACGTGCAGAGTGGGAGAAGTCTGTAACCTTGACTTTGCAAATAGCTGCTTTTAAGAAGTATGGGTATTGCTGGCCAGTGAGCTGCAGGGCCCCTGGGGTCAGCCATAGGAGTGACCTCTCTGATGTTTTCTGTTCTCTCTAGTGATAGAGGAAGGTGGTGTCAAAATGAAACTAACGGTCATCGACACACCTGGCTTCGGAGACCAGATCAACAATGAAAACTGGTATGTGCCTGCCTCTGAGAATTTTCCCCCCTAAATATTCTGCTAGGAAGACATGATGGAGACTCTTTCCCATTGAGAACTACCTGAATCCTCCCTTGGCAAGAGGCTTGGTCTCCTGGGAGCTATTCTTGCTGACTATCCATGGAAAGCCATCCATTGGGGAGGCTGAGGGAGAGCTGGCCATGGGAGTCGAGAAAAGAGGGAGTGAGGGGATTATGCCCAGACTGTGCCTTAGAGGCACGCTGGAGTTTTGTCCTCTAGAGGGATCCCATCTGTCTTAGTTAGGGTTCTACTGCTGTGAACAGACACCATGACCTAGGTAACGTAAGGACAACATTTAATTGGGGCTGGCTTATCATCCAGGTGGGAACATGGCAGTGTCCAGGCAGACGTGGCACTGGAGGAGCTGAGAGCTCCACCTCGTGTTCCAAAGGCAGTTAGCAGAAGACTGGCTTCCAGGCAGCTAGGATGAAGGTCTCAAAGCCCATGCTCACAGTGGTACACCTACTCCAACAAGGCCACACCTCCTAATAGTGCCACGCCCTGGGCTGAGCATATACAAACCATCACATCCTCTATTTTTTTCTTCTGCCCCTCAGCTGGGAGCCCATTGAGAAATACATCAATGAGCAGTACGAAAAGTTCCTGAAAGAAGAGGTAAACATTGCTAGGAAGAAGCGGATCCCTGACACCCGTGTCCACTGCTGCCTCTACTTCATCTCCCCGACAGGACACTCGTACGTACCAGACATGTTCCTACAGCCAGACCTGGCTCCAGTTTGTGTCCTCTGTGCCATGGATTGGAGACTTCATACCTGGACTTAGCTGGGGAGAGCCAGATGGCTGGCCCTAGGACCTTAGGGTTCATTAGACTTTCTATAAGAAAGAGAGTAAAGCTGGCCATTACTGCCTTCCATACCGCTCACTGGTGTTGCTGTACAGCCCGACTATACCAGCAGAGAGAACTTAAGCAAAGGGCACCTTGTTTTCTCAATAGATACTTGCTTTGGACAAGGCTCAGGGTATAGGGGTGGCAAGAAAGGCAAAGCAGAGAGAATCGGGGCTCCTGGATTGGGGGTGGTATTTAGGCAAGATATGGAACTTGGCTGTGGGAATCCAGAGAGTGGCCATCCCAGCAGGAAGAGCCAGACATCTAGAGATGGAGGCTGTGCCGGGAACGTGATTTGTAAGCAGCAGATGGGCTCCATGATAGGGAGTGTGGGACATGACAGGGAGTGTAGGCCAAGGTCAGACGTCTCACTGATGTTTCCAGCCACTGTCCCGAAGGGCGTGTGTAGCTCTAAGCCCCTCTGCAGGGTCAGGACTTAAGCTTTTGAGAGGATGTCAACCTTGAAGTTTGAAGGTGCCAGTGGTACCCAGCCAATGTTGAGTAATAGAGGTTGTAAACTAATAATCCTGGGTCAGACCTAGGACCGCAATGAGGGCTTTTAAGTTTTGTTTTATTTTTTAAGAGTGAGTACTAGAGATTGAACCCAGGGCATCATATGTGCTAGGTAAGCACTGTACCATTGAGCTATATGCCAGCCCTCTTTTTATCTCCTCCTCTTCTTCCTCGTCTTCCTCCTTTTCTTCTTCTCCCTCGTCTTCCTCTTACTCCTCCTCCCCCCTCTTCTTCTTTATACTTATTTATTTATGATTTTTTTAAAGATTTATTTATTTTATTTATGAGTACACTGTAGCTGTCTTCAGACACACCAGAAGAGGGCATCAAACCTCAGGTTGTGAGCCACCATGTGGTTGCTGGGATTTGAACTCAGGACCTCTGGAAGAGCAGTCAGTGCTCTTAACCGCTGAGCCATCTCTCCAGCCCATTTATGATTTTTTTAAGATAAGGTTTTTCTGTGTAGCCCTGGCTGTCCTGGAACTGGCTCTGTAGACCAGGCTGGCCTCAAACTCAGGGATCCGTCTGCCTCTGCCTCCTGAGTGCTGACATGTGCTACCATGCCTGGTCTTCCTTTTACTTTTTTTTTTGTTGTTGTTTTGTTTTTCGAGACAGGGTTTCTCTGTGTAGCCCCGGCTGTCCTGAAACTCACTCTGTAGACCAGGCTGGCCTTGAATTCAGAAATCTGCCTGCCTCTGCCTCTCCCAAGTGCTGGGATTAAAGGTGTGCACCACCACCGCCTGGCGTTCCTTTTACTTTTTAAGACAGGGTCTCACTTGTCCAAAATTACCTTGAACTTACTCTGTAGCCCAGGCTGGTCTTGAAATTGAGATCTTCCTGCCTCAGCTACTACTAGCTAGCAAGATAGTTTAAGCTCTTCCCAGACCTCAGTCCACAGTTAGTGAAAGCTATCAGTCTGACTTAATGGATCCCCGGATTGCAAACTAGAGTCAGACTGGGGCACTAGAGCTAGGCTCTATGGTATGGGCTGTGGGGCTGACAAGAGGCCACTGAGAAGAGTTCAGTTAGTGATGACCATCCATGCTTGTCCCCCAAAGAAAACTTCTTGAGTCAGTGAAGGTGTCATGGAAACTGAGGAAGATAAGAGGGAGCTTGACTCTGAGGACAAAGTTGGGGACATGCAGCAGGCGCTGATGCAGTAGACATGTGCAAGAGGAAAGGCTACAGTTGCACGGCCTCAGCTGCAGGACTTCAGCTGCAGGGCCACAGCTGCAGGGCTACAGTTGCAGGGCCTCAGCTGCAGGGCCACAGCTGCAGGGCCACAGCTGCAGGGCCACAGCTGCAGGGTCTCAGCTGCACGGCCTCAGTTGCAGGGTCTCAGCTGCAGGGCCTCAGCCAGGTTCCCAGACCAGTCTACTCCCCGGGACCATCTGGTGGTCTGCCGTGGTGGCTGAGTCAGGAAGGGGATATGGCTCTGACCTTCCTGCTTTCTCTGGGCCCCAGCTTACGACCACTCGATCTTGAGTTCATGAAACACCTCAGCAAAGTGGTGAACATCATTCCTGTCATTGCCAAGGCTGACACCATGACCCTGGAGGAGAAGTCTGAATTCAAGCAGAGGGTGAGCTGGGGCCTCTTTGTTCTTTTCCTACCTCTAGTGAGTGCTGCCTTCTCTCCCCTCTTCTCGGTCCAAACTATTTCCTACCTGTCAGGTCTTCCACTTTCCCTCTACTCCAGTTCTCCACCCCAACTCCCTCCCATTTCACCATCCGAGGCAAGCGCTAGACGTTCCTGGGACCAGAGGTGAGGCCATCCGGTCCAGGCTGCCTTTCTCTCCCTGTCCACACTTGGTTGGCAAAGGCTCCCTCCCACTCATCACCGATCTAAGAATATGCTAATCGGTAGCCAAGCCAAGTTCCCGTTGGGTAAAAAGAAAGAGAAAGGAACCAAAATGAACACTCTAGAGGTCCTGGAGGAAGAGACTTAAGATGGTCTTGAAAGAGAGCTGAGAGCCCAGGAAGGGGGCTTTACCTCCCTTCCCTGCCAGCTGGAAATCGCGGGGGCGGAGCCTGTGCTCACAGACTCCTCCTCCTCCTCCCCGAGGCCTGAACCGATTTACTACTACCTTGCCTCTCTAGGTTCGCAAAGAGCTTGAAGTAAACGGCATTGAGTTCTACCCTCAAAAGGAGTTTGATGAGGATTTGGAGGACAAGACAGAGAATGACAAAATCCGGGTAGGTCTGTGAGGCCCTCCTTGTCACCGGATGTCCCCTCGGTGCCTCTTGGGAGGGGTGCCTTTAGGCCCTTCCTCCTGCTTTTTCCTTACCATAACCCCTTGTCACTTCACCTAACCCAGACCACAGGAATTATGGATGTCAGTGGCCCGCACTGGGACTAAACTCTCAGAGGGACTTCCTGAGATCAGGAAGCTAGTCCCTTCCATCACCAGACAGTAGGAACGCCTCACCTTTCTTCCCAGGAGTTGGCAAAACCATTGTCAGATGATGGGGCACTGGGCTGGTGCCCAGAGGAATCTATACTCTAGTCAAAGTTTGCCTTTTTTTCTCCCTCTATAAAATACAGAGGCTGGACTAGGTGAGTGGCTTATAGGTGTCCTCTCCCTAGAAGAACTATTTAAAAATACACACGAGCTAATGAAATTGCTTACTGCGTAAAGACACTTGCTGCCAAGCTGCCTGATGAACTGGATTACAGGATCCATGTGGCACAGGAAAGAATTAACTCCTAAAAGTTGTTCCTGGATCTCTGAATATACTTGAGAGAGAGCACGAGTGTAAATACACACACGCACACACACACATGCACACTATGTAATTAAAAATTTTAAACAAATAGAACCCTAATATACAAACCACCAGAGCAGGACTGCTTTATCTGAGGGCACACAGATCTACTGCCCCAGCAGCTGCTAAGATGCCTTCTATGGCTCTGGCTGCACCAAGGAACCGGGTTTGGATACCATCAACTATATGATGTCTAAGGTCTTGCTCTTAATTAAAAATTATATGATTCTGCATCAGAAACCCTGGCCCGTTGACCAGCCTGTGAACTCAGTGACAAATCAAATCTCTTATGGCTTAGGTTTTCAAACCCTTCTGGAGTCTTCTAGAAAGTTGAATAGTCTAGAGAAGCCTTTTGCTCCCTATAGTGGGACAGACAGTCAGTTGAAAAAGGCAACTGAATCAAGATCATCATTTTAAAAAAACCCTTGTAATGATGCTAATGTACTTATTTGTGTGTAGGGTGAGTGAGGGGGAACTGGTGTGTGCCTATGGCATGTGTGCAGGTCACACGGCACCTTCCAGGAGTTAATTTTCTCCTTTTACCAAGTGGGTCCCATGGATCTAACTCCGGTCATCAGACTTGGTGGCAAGCATTTTTATGCATTGAGCCATCTCACCAGCCTCAGATAATCGCCTTTAAAAGTGATGTTTGCAAATCTTAACTGTCAAGTAGAACTATTTTAGGTAGTTAAAATGCCTTTAAAATATGTCACATCCATCAGCCTTTATGTTTTTGTGGTGCTAGGGACTGCATCGACACACTCTTTGATCACACACACACATACACACCACAGAGAGACACACAGAGACACATTTACAGACACACACAGACACACTCACAGATACACACAGACACACACACACAGACACACACACACACACACACACACACACATTTTGTGCAGTGCTGAGGATTGAACCCAGGGCCTTGGGTCTGCTAGGCAAGCACTCTATCCCTGTACCCTCAGCCCAAAGTCCATTCTCAATGCCAAAGCAGTTCACTTCCATCATCTGTCTTACACTTGGCTTACTATTCAGAGAACAGCTCTACACATATGTGTCTCCAGTTTAGATACTATATCCATATGCTGCATGAAGAGATTTTGGCCAGCAAGGGGCCACATAAGACAGTGTTTCCCTGCTACCATATCATCTGGTAACACAGTCACTGCCTTATTAGTTTGCATACTTCTATGCTACGAGTGCACCCCATGATCTTTTCCTGAACTTACTCTGTCATTAAGCAACACATGACTCTTTTATCCAGTGACAAACACACACCAGGCAGATCCACTCGGTGCTTGCCCCGACGGAGCAGAGCAGCAGCCGTGAGAGTTCAGTACCTGGGCATCTGCCAGTAGGTTCCATGGGAGCCACATAACACATCGCAGAGTCTGACTGGCGCCTGGGCGGGTGCTGTCTGTGAGAAGAGTCTGTCCTAGCTAGCTCCCAGAGTGGTTCCAAATCAAATGAAAATATGTGCCCAAGCACAATGAACTGTTCAAAGTACTCTCTGGTTGAAGGAAAGCCAACTTACTGTGACTAGCCAGTCAGACAACAGTGTCGTCAGGGTCTCAGCCTTGAGTCTCAGCTCAGTCTTTTCAAGAGCCAGAACATTGCTCTTGCTACCAGTAGCATCATAGAACGAGCAAAGGAATAAGATGTGAAAGGCTGTCTTGCCCTGGACACTCAGTTTGGGAACCGAGGACTAAGCAGCTGCATCTGGTTTTGCGTTTCCCCCTCTCCAGCAGGAGAGCATGCCCTTCGCGGTGGTGGGCAGTGACAAGGAGTACCAAGTGAACGGCAAGAGGGTCCTCGGGAGGAAAACACCCTGGGGAATCATCGAAGGTAATCCAGTACATCTCTCAGAAGGGGAGGCTGTCCAGACAGCAGCTATTAAATATCAAGAGGTCAAAGTGTCAGTAGCCTAAAATACTAGGATATTATTGCTAGCCGGCTGCTGCCCTTAAGGAACTTATAGTTTGCAATGCTAGTCACAGGCAGGAAACAATGACATCATTTAACATGTGACCAGGTGACAATGACTTGGCCTGTCAAATGAATATAGGACACAAAGTATTCTTTTTTAAAGATTTTTTTTTCCAGACAGGGTTTCTCTGTGTAGCCCTGGCTGTCCTGGAATTCACTCTGTAGACCAAGCTGGCCTCGAACTCAGAAATCCACCTGCCTCTCTACCTCCCAAGTGCTGGGATTAAAGGTGTGCGCTGCCACTGCCCATTTTTTTTAAAAGATTTATTTATTTGTTTAAGTACACTGTAGTTGCCTTCAGACACACCAGAAGAGGGCATCAGATCCCATTACAAGATGGTTGTGAGTCACCATGTAGTTGTTGGGAATTGAACTCAGGTCCTCTGGAAGAGCATTCAGTGCTCCTAACTGCTCAGCTGTCTCTCCAGCCCCCAACTTTTTTTTTTTTTAAAAGAAAGATTTGTTTATTTTATGTGTGAATACATTGTTGCCGTCTTCAGACACACTGGGAGAGGGGATTGGATCCCATTACCAATGGTTGTGAGTCACCATGTATTTGCTGGGAATTGAACTCAGGACTTCTGGAAGAGCAGTTAGTGCTCTTAACTACTGAGCCATCTCTCCAGCCCCCAGACAAACTCTCGAGGGGTGGAAACCAGAGAAAGAGTTTCATATAGGACCTGACAAAGTGCCAAAGGGCAGTTCACATTTTGCCTTAGTCAATGATTTATTATGAATGGATGTTACCTTGATGATTCTTAAAGTTTTCAAGAAGTTACTTCAAGGGTCTCATTGGGGACTGGTGAGGCAGTTCAGTGATAAGAGCACTTGCTTACTGTGTTCAATCCCCTGCACAACACACACAAAGCCAAACCAAGAAAACAAACAATTATGGTAACCCGGTAAGGAATACTGGGCAGATGGTCCCATCTTCAGATTATATGTCTCAGATAAGTTAAATGCTTTGCTCTGCAAAGGTCAGACAGTCCCCACCCACGAGGAGCCAGCAGTGCAGGAGATTAAACTCAGAGTTTTCTATATGATAATGGCATTTGAACTGCAAATTTGGATAATTTGCTTCCCAAACCGAGATTTACTCTACTGTTTTGAGTTGTTTAAATTGTTAATAATTTTTGAGGACCTGGTAATAGAACTCAGGGTCTTACTGTGCTAAACAAGTGGTCTACCATTGAGCTAAATCCTTAACTAGTGTTTTTTTGTTTGTTTGTTTGTTTGGTTGGTTTTTTGAGACAGTTTTTTTTTAAGTAATTATTTATTTAATGTATATGAGTACACTGTCTTCAGATATACCAGAAGAGGGCATCAGATCCCATTACAGATGGTTGTGAGCCACCATGTGGTTGCTGGAAATTGAACTCAGGACCTCTAGAAGAGCAGTCAGTGCTTTTAATTGCTGAGCTGTCTCTCCAGCTCTGACCTTGAATTTCTGATCTTTCTGTTTCTATCTCCCAAGTGCTGGGATGACAGTGGTGGGCCACCAACTTCACCACACCCAGTACCTTGGGATTTTATTTCATTATTTGCCTTGAATTAGAATTATTCATGAGAATGTTATATGCACGTCATTAAGACCAGAGAGTCATATTTATCCTCCTCTGTTCCCACAGTTCTTGGTGAGTGGTTTGCAGACAGTGGTCACCCCATCTCTGTCAGCCAGATTTATTATATAGAGTGTGACCTTTGGAAGCTGGGACAGTTATTAGGTCCTATGTGTTTTTAACAGGCCTTCACAAGTTTTTAAAACTCCCACATTTTTTGTAAAATGTGGGACAACACCAGTCCATATTAAGATCTATACACTGTAGAATGGTACTGTGTCCTTTATACCTGACTTAAAAGTATTTGCTCAGTTTAAGAAAAAGAAAAGGAAGAGAAAGAAAGGAAGAAAGGGAATCAGAGCACTAGCAAACAAACCTCAGGCAAGTCCACATAAGAATCTGCCTCACTAAAGTGACCTACCTGCTGCTGGGCCGACACTAGTGAACAGGCTACCTGTTTCCTTCTGTTTTGTCCATAGTGGAAAACCTCAACCACTGTGAGTTTGCCCTGCTTCGAGACTTCGTCATCAGGTACGATGTGCCCCACAGTCCCCCAGATGGCAGGTTTAATTATCTGTGATCAAAGACCATCTGCTCAGATTCACTTCCTGAGCATCTCCCTTCTCTAACAGAGCTCTCTGACCTAGTTCTAGCCCCTGTCTCAAAGGGGTGGTAAATTGACATTGGTCCTCAAGGGTGGACTCCAGTCACTGGGTCCAGTCTACCAAGGAGATGTGTTAGCCTCAGAGGTAGACCAGTTCTCTGACCTGTAATTGTATTTGCTTCTCTTTTTTACTCTGTATCCCTTCAGGACTCACCTCCAGGACCTCAAAGAAGTGACACACAACATCCATTATGAGACTTACAGGGCCAAGAGGCTCAATGACAATGGAGGCCTCCCTCCGGTGAGCGTGGACACAGAGGAAAGCCACGACAGTAACCCGTGATGAGCCCTTCTCTGTGTTATCATACATATCCCCCGTCTCCAAACACACACACATCCCAGATACCACCTCCAGCCACCTCCTCCTCTCAGCTCTGTCCCACAGGCCTGTCTGGTATTTGTGCAGTGTTTTGTCTATAGTTTGTGTGTGTGTGTGTGTGTGAGTGATGGAGAGTGCCTGAGTGTATATGTGTATGTGTGTGTGCATGTGCGTGCATGCCTCTGTGTGTGTGTCTGATGGAGAGTATCTGAATGTATATGAGTATGTGCGTGTGTGTGTGATGGAGAGTGCTTGAGTGCATGTGTGTGTGTGTGTATGTGTGTATGCGTGTGCTCAAGGGTGAGGTATTTTCATCGCCTTCTCTGGAAAGTCCTTTGTAAGTCTGCTTTCTCCATGACTCTCCATTCTGTCTCCTTTTTTCTTGTGCTCCAGAACAAAAAGCTGTACGCCTCACTCAAGAGGTCTGGGGAAGGTTTTATTTTAAAATGCTGGGAGCAGGTGAGCCACAGGCAACTCTTTCTTACTTCTGACCCACCCACAAACTGGGGCTGCAAGTATTCTTCATGGACTGGTGGCTGAGCTAGCCTGTGGTGGGCTGTGGGAACTCAGAACAACTTTTCACTGTAAGTTGAGGTAATCTGGAGGAAGGCTAGGACTTCTTGGGAAAACGGCAAGAAAATTCATGGGGAGCAGAGAAGAAAGCTGAGGGATTCCTGCAGAATTGGTGTCTGGAAATAGAGCTCCATCCTTGTGTCTATGTTGGGGTCACTGTCAAACAGCGGATCATCACCGCTGCAAACCACTGCTTTCTGTGCCCACCCTCCCCATATTTCCAGGCTGGTTGGTTGCTTCCTCATCCTGATTTCTCTCCCCACTCCCCAGTGTCCTCTTCCCTTCTTCCTTCATATAGTCATACATTCGCCCCACTTCCTGCCGTCTCCGCCCTTTTGTCTCCTTTCAGAATAACCTATGTTAGATTCCTTTCTATATTTAGAAATCATGCCCAGCCTACTTCCTAAATTGGCTTTCTACTACCCTAAGATAGAATCACAACCAGGGGCTGAAGAGATGGCTCTATGCTTGGGAGCACCTTTCACTCTTACAGAGGACCCAGGTTTGATTCCCAGCACCTTCTTGGTAGCTTACAGTTATCTGTGACTCCAGTTCCAGAGGATCTGACACCCTCTTTTAGCCTCCATGAGCATGGTGTACATACACATAGTCAAGCACTCATATGCATAAGATAAGAATTAAAAAAAAAACCCTTTAAAAAATAAGATCCCAAGTAAAAGCATGGAGCAGTACATACTGAGATTGCAAGAGAATTCAGAGTTATAGAGAAGCCTAGGAAAGCCAGCTTCTATAGCTGACCACTGATGTTTGCTCTGACTTGGGAGCAGCCTGGGGAAATGGGAGACCTTGGTAGCTTGGGCTGCTCCCAGTGTTCTGTTCAAGGAAGCACATATGTTGGTCAAATGAGGCAACCTTCAGGTGGAGGAAATTACATTCTCGAACTAATTCTGAATTATCAGGAAAAAAAATATACAGAGTTTCTTAGGCCGCTGGACTTCTATGACAAATTTTAACGCAGGTTTCCCTGACTCTAGCAGCCTTCTGTCTGTGTTAAGCTGGCTTCTCTGTGGCTTTGTTTCTTACAAACGCGACACACTCTTTCTCTGTTCTCATTTGTCTGTCTGTCTGTCTTGGCTTCTCCCCTCCCGGCATTCTCCCACCATCTGATCCTGTAGATGTTCCCAGAAATGCCCATAGCCGTACATTTAGCCTTCTGTTGCCTTCTCAGGAGCCCTGTAGTCACTAATGCACACATTGACTGCCTCCTTGCACATACAAGTTATTCTTTTTTTTTTTTCCTTGTAGTTTCTAAGGCTGCTTTAAGGAAAGCCATTTAGCCTTAGGAAAGGGAAGACACCACGTGACTCTGTTTACAACTGATCTATCCAGTATCCCACCTCCCGGTCCAGCCTGGGTGTTGAACTGGTTCTGGCTGAATGCCAGCATTTATGACCTCAGTCTTTTATTACCCAGTCCCTAGAAAACAAAACAAAACAACAACAGCAACAACAACAACAACAACAAAAAAAACCAGAAAGAGATGGAAGACACATAATTCAGTGGACCAATCGGAAAAGGAGGGAATGATCAGATCATGTGACCCTAATCCTATGGTCTTAGTCTGTCCTGGAGACTTATCTATCACTAGCCCTCATCCCTCGTCCCCCTCTCCCCGTAACATTTACTAAAGAGTGGTCAGCCGTCAGGCTAGAATGGTAGCAACATTATAGAGCTCACTGACTGCTCCAGTGAGCTGCTGTCACCATATGGTGACATGGGATTGGGTACCTAGGGCCAGCAGGGGATGAGGATAGTGGGCATTGGAGAGGCTAAGCAGGAGAATGCTGCCTGTCCCCCCTAAGCTGTGGTCTCACTCTCCCTGGATACGCTGTTTTATGTGTTTGCTGCCGGCTGCCGGTCTCCACCCCCTCAACCCTTCTCAACTACCCCTGCAGGGAGAAGGCCTCCTGGGCACTGTCCTTCCACCTGTGCCAGCCACCCCCTGCCCCACTGCTGAATGAAGGCCATTTCAAGCGCTGCTTCTCCCTCATCCCTCCCAGCTGGTATTGCTGCAGGGCCACGCCCCTTTTAATGCTGTGCTTGTCCAGCCCACCAGCACAGCCCCTCTCAGCCCTCAGCAGGTGGGAGGGGCTAGCTGCGTCTTTAGGACAGTTGCTTCCTCTGTTTAACCAAACGACTCCTCTCCTCCCAATGGAATGGAGTTCCCGCCAGCACCACCCTGCTCCATCATCTGTGTCAGCAGCCCTCCCCCCACCCCCCGCCCTTGTGTAGGGAGGAGGAACTCTCGGAGAGCTTCTCCTGCCCTTGCAAGCGCCTACCAGAGACTTGTAACTGTCTCCAAGGGAACCGGCATTGCTTTCTAGCCTTTCATCTGCATGAGTACTTTCTTGGCTACCTTAAACGGTCAAGAAAGCAACTTTCCTGCTTGTCAGAGTCACTGAGGTCAGCCGTGTGAGCCCCTGTGTGGGACAAGGGTGTCTCCTTCATTGCTTAAAGGTATTTATAAGGGTGATTCATTATACATGGTGGGGAGCCAGAGGGCTAGCGTCACTTTAAAAAAAATCACCGCTGGTGGCTGGCCCAGTGAGTATGTGTGTAGACAACCTGTTTACCCCAAACCATGGCCATCTGGGAAGTGGCTTTGCTGAAAGAGGTTGCTGGAGTTGACTTCCTTATCCCCAAACTTTAAAAGAAAGGGAATTAAACACACACACAGACTACCCCAAACCCACAAGCTATACACTCTAGGAAGAAAAATAGCACCCTTTTATACATTTAGCAATAAGAGGGATCTTCCCACCTACCTTGACTAGTCCTATACCCATCCCCCACCCTGTTAATGTGAGCAATGCATTAGCTTGACCACGGGTGGTCGCTATAGGCTAATGGAAAATACCCAATGGCGGGCAAAGCCCCCATCAGATGCATGAATGTTTGAACGGCTGCCACTGCCCTATACACTGTGTCTTTATAGACCCCTCCCTCAGCCACCCCACCTGCCATCTCCACCTGGACACAACTTGCTCAAAGGCTGGTGACTTGTGGGCCATTCATCTACAAGTCCCAATGGAACAAGAGGCCCTAGCCTAGGGGATGCAAGAACGACCCATTTTTACAATGTTATTAGTCCCAGCCAATGTTTTGGTGATATTCCCAGTTCAGTTTCCCAATTGAAAACAAGCCAACAGACACTCAGACTGGTCATGTAAATGTTGCTAGCCTCTGTTGTACAACTAAACATTACTGTTTGAACAATGATGGCCTGGACTTTGTCTTATTTGTGTTTCTTGCTCCTTGATAAAATCAGCTATGAATGACACCATCTCAATGTGTGTGAGCCAGGGACCCTCTTGGCAAGGTAAAAGTAGCCACAGATATTAGATATTGAGCATGTGGCATCTATTTATTTTCAGGTGTCATGAGGCCATATTCCAGTCATTTCCTAGAAATTTGTAACCCCAGTGAGTGGGAGAACTGACTCTTTTTTTTTTTTTTTTTTTTGAGACAGGGTTTCTCTGTGTAGCCCTGGCTGTCCTGGAACTCACTCTGTAGACCAGGCTGGCCTCGAACTTAGAAATCCGCCTGCCTCTGCCTCCCAAGTGCTGGGATTAAAGGCGTGCGCCACCACTGCCTGGCAAGAGCTCTCTTAGGTCCTGTTTTTTCAGGAAGTATTTAGTCCCAATTCCTTAGCTTCTTAAGCATCTCTCCCATCCCCAAGGCATAAGGACCAAGTCTATAAATGAAAGCCTAGTCTAGCCTATTTTACTATGAATATATTAAGAATATAAAGGGGTCAGTGAGACAGCTCAGCTGGGAAAGGCACTTGCTATCAAGGCTGACAATCTGAGTTTAAACCCTGGATCCTACATGGTTGAAGGAGAGAATTAACTTCCGTAAGTTGTCCTCTGACCTCCACATGTTCTTATGCTTACATGTGTGCATGCACACGCAAACATGTGTATGCACAATTTAAAAGGGAACAGGGAGATGGCTCTGCTGGGACATGTGATGGCTGCACAAGCATGAAGACCTGAGTTCAGGTCCCTAGCCTCCACATAAAATCAGAGAGGTGGGACGGTTTGTGTGCAATGAAAAGAGGCAGAGTTGGAGACTGCAGGGTGGGAAGGAACAACCTGATGTGAGGGGCCTACAATGCCACCTAAGGCCACGGCCCATGCTGTTGCTAAGGGCCATGTCTGTGTCCGAGGTCCTACAGTAGTAGAGGCCTATGTCAATGTCTGTCGCTCGTGTTACCAACAAAGGCCATGTGGATGTCCCTGGTCTGGGGCTGCTGCCTGGGGCCATGTGGATGTCTCAGGAGTTCATAAAGCTGGCTCTGCCCCTCACTTGGGCAGCTTGGGAGAGCTGGACCTGGTGGTGTGACTATGAGACAGCTGACCCTGAGGGCGAAAGAACTGGAGAGCTTGTCTCACTCCTTGCCAGGGCAGTGCTGGAGAGCTGCCCCCAAGGGCATGAAAGTGAGAGCGTACCTTGCACCTTACCTGGGCAGCACAGTAGAGCTGGCCCTGGTGCCATGGATGCAGGAGAGCTGTCAGATGCCACCCAGACCCAGATCCAGGGCTTTGAGTTGGCCCACCCTAACATCTACCTCATCTATGAACTGCTGGAGCTTGTGAAGGGTTGGTCCTGCAGATCCAAAGCTGCAGGATCTCCATGACAACAGGATATCCAAGAGGAGTCCTGATGAGGATCCAGTATTGATGATGTAGCAGAAGCCAAAGGCTTCGAACCAGACCAATGACTCATTGCTGCAAATGTTTGCAAATAAAGCTGTTATACTGTATGACAAACCATGACATACCGTAGCTTTCATGGCAAGATGGCTTTGTTTTTTTTTAATATACATTATATACATATATAATATATTTATTTAACAATATATTATATTTAACTTAATATTTTATATTTAATTTATATTATTTTATATTTAACTTAAATATAAAATATGAACATTTTGCATTCAATTTATATTTAACAATATGATATAGTTAATATATATGTATATATTGTTTTCTTTTGGTGGGAGGAAGGTTGCAAGAGCAGAGGAGGGCCGTGGAGAGAGGAGATGTGTGAGATTGGGGTACGTGATATGACATTCACAAAGACTCAAAGTTAAAAACAAACCAGATATGGTCCCATGCTTACCTGGGGCTTGCTGGTCAACCAGTCTGCTTCCAGGTTCAATGAAATATTCTTTCTTGAGGAAAGAGGGGGAGCGATAGGATACGTGACTTCCTGGCTGCTTCATGGGTGCACGGGCATGCGCAGCCAAACACAAAGTCCACATATACTACTCATCTACACAAAGGAAGCTAAACAGTAGCAGTTTTTCTTGAATTTAGGATGACCCCTCCCCTCATTTGTATCACAACTCTCATCTGCTTGTTATTCCCTAAATTTTACTGTGAACTTTAAACAATTATTTGGGACCTTGGCTTTTTTTTTTTTTTTAAAGAAAATCTCAAACATTGGATTTTTCCAATAAAGATTCTGGAGCCAGATGCTGTGGTGAAAGCCTGCTAGCTCAGAGAGGCAGAGAAAGCACCCAGCTGACCTTCCTCCTCAGCCAACATCCCAAAAGAAAAGCTCTTCTCCACACTGTCTCCCAAACCCCTCCAACTGAATTTCCCTCCCTTCTACTTCCTGCGTGTGTCTCTATCCATCCTCCTGACTGTCTCTGATTCTTTTTTTTCCTATGTTCCCTCCCTGTAACTGGTTGCTTGCTCTGCCTCTTGACCTATGATTGACTTTATTTAATCCTGTTTACAATAAACAGAAAGCTCTTGGATTAAAGGTGTGTGCGAGACATAACTAGAAATAGGTTTTCTAGTAAATAACACAAATCTGGGGGGTTCATAGTATGATCAAATCCTGCGAACGTCCCGTAACACTTGGCTTTTTGTGAGGTGAACCTAAGGTATAAATGAATGAAGAGAAACAGTTTGGAGGGCCAGAATGGATGATGAATCAATCAAGAGGCTCTTGAAACCATGCAAGTAGGATGAGGAGGGTACCAACTGATGGTAACACAACAAACACAGAGGAAGGGAAGTGACGTGTGAAAGACACAGCTGTTTGCTGGACATCAACCATCACAGTCACAAAAAGCTAATATTTAAGTGTGGAAGGTCAAGTCTAGAGAACATAATTTTCTTGTCCAAGGTTTCATTGACCATGACAGGAGCGGCTAGGTCTTGATGTTTGTCACTGTATACTATTCCTATTAAGTTTGATTCTTAATTCTAGTCTTTTTTGTTTTAAAAAAGATTCATTTATTTTATGTATGAGTACACTGTCGATCAGAGACATTAGAAGAGGGCATATGATTCCATTACAGATGGTTGTAAGCCATCATGTGTGGTTGCTGGGAATTGAATGGAGGACCTCTGGAGGAGCGGTCAGTGCTCTTAACTGCTAAGCTATCTTTCCAGCCTCTCTACTAAGTCTTGTATATAAAAAAATTATCTGTACTAGGTGTGGTGGCGCACGCCTTTAAACCCAGCGCTTGGGAGGCAGAGACAGGAGGATTTCTGAGTTTGAGACCAGCCTGGTCTACAGAGTGAGTTCCAAAACAGTCAGGGCTACATAGAGAAACCCTGTTGACAAAACAAAAATAAAAATCGGAAATCAGGACATGTCTTACAATGATAACATGTCTGATTATTTGGCAATTTTCATTTTTTCACTGGCACATGGACACCCTAGAGTGTCTTGAGTAATTGATTGAGCGTGACACCTACAAAGGCTCAATGGATCCAAGAATTAGACCCACAGAAGGTTGAAATTCACTGTTCACTTCCTGACTTAGCTCACCTTTTCTGGATGCTCTCTCACCAGATCATCAGTTCTGTCCTAGGCCCTCTTTGATGGAAGGAAGCTCTGGTCTTAAAAGAATGGAGGAAATGTAGACTCTCACTCTGAGTTGGTTTGGGGTAATCTAGACTGAGATTTTGGGTCAATGGCTACTTTTTAAACCACTAGCTCCTAGCAGGACCAAGGCTGTTAGTCACCCATCCTTCAGCCTCTCCCCGTTCTAGATAGGAATCCAGCTCCACGAAGACGCCCTTTTTCCTCACCCAGGCCCTCCTCCCCTGACTTGTGACAGCTCCTCTTGTGACAGCTGCCCACTCAACTCTGGGTTTCTGCGCCATAATCTCCGCCCTCTCCCCAGGGCTCCGCCCCCTGCCTTGCAGGCCCCGCCCCTTCCCATTTGAAGGGCGGGCGGCGGCGGGAGGGGACCAAGAGCAAGATGGCAGTGAACCAGAACCATACGGTCGACCGCCGTGGGGCCGCCATCCCTCATGGTGAAAGGTGCCTGAGGGGACTTCCAGGCTGCTGTCGAGGAGGGAGGAACGCTCAGGGTAGACATGCGCGTTGGAAAGTCCTCTGCATCTCCCGCCCTTCCCAGGCTCCTTCCTCGGAGCTCCGCCCCTGACGTTTGATCCAGGAGCCTGTGGCTAGACGCGTGCGGGGGGGGGGGGGCGCGAGGGCCGCGGGCATCCTCAGAGGAAAGACCCGAGCAACGGCTGTGGGAAGAGTGGGTCAGCCCTTGCTTCGCGGGACAGCCTCCACTGGCTGTGTGCGACTTTAAGAGGGTGACTGTCACCCTGAGGCCCTGGGTTTGCCTCAGGCGACCAGGAACAAAGGGGTAGGCGAGTTGGAAGAAGGGCTAGGATGTGGAGTGTAGGTCACTAATCCAGAACTATCACAAACCTTCCTCTAAAATCCCCCAGAAGTTCCCTTTCCTCATTGCTTCAACCTAGGACAAGACTTCATCACCTTTACTGAAAAGATTGGGAACAAAAGTAGGGGTCCCTAGGAAGAATGGCATTCCAGTCTCTCATGGTGCTGGGGCTTCCACCCCTCGCCCACTTTCCTTACCCCCTGTCTCTGCCTCTTCTGGATTATGTCCTCTCTTTGCTCGTTTTCTTCACTTGACTGTGAGACTCAGTCAATGATATGCTCAAATAGAACTCCGAGGTCAGTTCGAGGCCAGCCTGATCTACAAAGCAAGTTCCACGACAGCTAGAGCTACGTTGTAGAAAGACTCTGTCTGGAAAAAAAAGAAAAATCCTGATTTTTTTTTTCTTGGTGTTGTTCCCTTACATTTTTAGAATCTGTGCTGTTGAATATGTATCAATAGTTTTCATTGAACAGCTACGATGGCACGCATTGTTCTTTGTCTTTATAACTGCTCTGTCTACAGTGAGCAGTTTCCTTCATTTCACAGGTAGGAATATGAGAAACAATTTGCTCAAAATCATTTTCAGTGCACGTGGGAAAGCTCGGACTTGGGTTTAAAATTACGCGCTATGCATCAACTTCGCTTGCTGGTCTTTAGAAAAGTTTTATTTTTTGCTTCCTCTTCATCAAAGAACAATCTGTTCTCTGCCTTTCTCAGATACAAATGACTGTATGGAAAGAGTTTGAGAGGAGGAAAATTGATTCTATGTTTAGTTTTCTCAATAGTTATGATACACATTTGAGAGTTCAGTTACAATTGTGGTATGTTTGAATGTGATGAGACTGAGTCTTGCTGCTTATTTGGCTCGGGCTGGCCCTGAACTTGTGATTCTGCCTTAGCCTCCCAATGAATGTTTGTAGTAACTAAACAACTATAACAAAATATCCCAGAATATCTTAGATTTGCGGTTGAACAAGGATTTATTCACACTGGAACATTCCTTTACAGTTTTAGAATCTGTGCTCTTGAATACGTATCAGTAGTTTTCATTGAACAGCTAAGCTTGGCGCACATTGTGCTTTGTCTTTGTAACTGCTCTGTCTGCAGTGAGCAGTTTCCTACCAACCTTTGGCAGTAATAATAATATCAACACGAAGAAGGATCCCCAGTAGACTGACAAATGAGGAAGTAAGTTACAAAGAGTTGGTGGTGGGGGGAAGCTTGTGTTTCAGTGATGAGGAATAATTTAGTGATTTGAGTTGGAGGTGAAGGGGCTTGTTTCTATCTTGCCTTAGCACAGACATGTTGAGCATTTCTAGTCTAATAACCCAAAATGCTCCATTGAAGCCAGATGTGAGGATGCAAGTCTGCTGGAAATGCAGATGCACGCCTCCATACCTGGCTTGTAGAGAACTTGTCATCATGGCTGAGAGGTCTTAAATGTATGGGCCAGGCTGTGTTGTAAAAATGGAGAAGATTGAATGGTTTTATCTGTTATTTAAGATTGTACAGATACTTGATGTCACAGTAGGAAAGTCAGGCCGAAAATTGATCACCCAAATTCCAACATTCAGTAGTTTTTGCATTTTGGTATGCTTTCTCTGCACCACTTCTTATGGAAACTTATGCTTGTTTTCCTGCCTACCAATGGCTTTGTAACTAATTTACATTTGCTAATATATTGGGACAGTTTCCAGATCCTATATCTATATTATTGCTGTCAATGGCTGATACTCCAGTGTGCGTACATCTTTGCTTAATTCTCAACGTGAACTATTCTGAGGTTTTCCCCTCATTTATAAGCATTACTGTTTAGAATTTTTTAAAAAATAAAATTATGTGTGTTCGTGAGTGTGCATGCACTCTGGCCACAGAACATATAAAAGTCATAGGACAACCTGTAAGAGTCCTCTTACCTTCTATTATGTGCGTCCCAGGGATCAAACTCAGATCACCAGGCCCAGTGGCAAGTGCCTTTACTAAAGGAGCTATCTTGCAGACCCTGCTTGAAAACTTTTGAAACGTATCTTTACCCATCTATCAAAATGTGTCTTTGAGCCTGGTACCACCTGGTTCTCTGCCTTACCTGTGATACCAAGGATGCTGTGAGAGGCAAGGAGGAGCCTCTCTTCTGCTGTGAAAGAAAAAAAAGAAAAACAACCAGTCATGACTTCGTTTCCAATAATAGCACAATGTATTCATCCTGCTTGCCCTGGGTGTTTTTCATGGTCATAAATTGTGAAGGTCACCATAGTGAAAGACAAAGATACTAAGCATTGTGAAGGAGTTGCATTTATCTAACTTTGGATAAAGTTACACCAGAGCAATAGACAAGTCATCATTTGGTGCAGTGCTAAAAGTAAGCATTGCTGTCCACAGAAGAGTAGCTGAGTTCATCTGAAGGTGGTACTACCTTGACAATCAGTTAGGGCACTGTGCAAGAAGGAGGCCTTCAAGATACTTCTGTCCTAGAAATACACTTGGAGCCTTTCAGCTTCCAAAAGGAAACAAATGAAGGCAGGGAAGTTGATATGCTCAGTCAGGCCAAGGCATGCCAACAAGCCAAAGCCAAAGAAGATGATGAATGGAAAACCAGAGCAGAGGTCCCTCGCTATCAGATTCAAGATGCTCGAGGATAAAGAACTTAGGGTCCAGTGTTGTAATTATTTTAGTGTCATTAAAATAAAGATCTACAAAAAAAAAAAAAAAAAAAAAAAAAGGCCGGGCGGTGGTGGCGCATGTCTTTAATCCCAGCACTTGGGAGGCAGAGGCAGGCAGATTTCGGAGTTCAAGGCCAGCTTGGTCTACAGAGTGAGTTCCAGGACAGCCAGGACTACACAGAGAAACCCTGTCTCGAAAACCAAAAACCAAACCAAACCAAACCAAAACAAACCAAAACAAAACAAAAACAAAAAACCCCCAAAACAATAAAATAAAGACCTTGTGGAGTTTGTGCTCCAAATTACAAGTTTCGAGTACAAACTTTGTATTACAAAGTTCAGCTGAGCTGGAAACTAAAGGTTACTTTTAGTACCCGAGCACAAAAACACCTACCATCAAATAGGTTTTCTTAAAACAATAAAATAGTTCATAGGAAAAAAATGAAAGTTTTAAAGTATTATGTTTCTATCTTATCGTCACCCAGTACAGGTTGAACATCTCTGATCTGAGCATCCAAACATCTAAAATGCACTATTGACTTCAGATCTGGTAGGGTTGGAGCGATGGCTCATCTATTAAGAGCACATCCTGTTCTGCTACAGGAACCATGGTCAGTTCCCAGAACCAGTGGTGAATGGCACACACATGCCTGTAACTCCAGCTTTAGATGAAACTGGCTTCTCTGGCCTCTAAGGGTACCTACAGACTCACATATACCACCCACCCCCTCAGAGGCCATACACATAATTTTAAAAAATCCAGATGTGATGGTACATTTTGAAGGTGAAATCACCTTGATGATTCCATCACTCAGGTTGATGCAAGAGGACTGTAAGTTCTAGGCCAGTCTGGGCTATACAGCAAGACCCTATCTCAAAAACAAAAGAACCCTTAAAGTGCCACCAATTACCTTGTCTGGAGAATTCCACTCCATGATACATTGTTTTATGCATAACATTGCTTAAAATATTATGCAGAGTTAACTTCAGGTGTATATGAAGCAACTGAATCTCATTTAGACTCGGGTCTCATTCCTCCAAATTTCTTATATATGCAAGCATTCCAAAGTCTAAAGCTGTTCAGATCCTAAATATTTCATTAAGAGATACTCAAGTTATATTAAAAATCAGGATTCAAGTAATTAATCTTGAATTAATTTTAATAAAAGTAGGAAAATAATACCACTAGCTAACACAGTGTTATTGTTATCCCGTTATAAAAGCTTTATTCGTGCCTGGTTGGTTTATGTGAGATTTTGCTTTTGTATTTTGTGGTCGTTTGGATGAAAATGTTTCCTATAGGCTCAGAGAGTGGGCACTATTAGGAGATGTGGCTTTGTTGGAGTGGGTGTGGCCTTGTTGAAATGGGTGTGGCCTTGTTGGAGTGGGTGTGGCCTTGTTGGAGTGGGTGTGGCCTTGCTGAAGAAAGTGTGTCACAGGGGGGTGGGCTTTGGGGTTTCAAGTGCTCAAGTCAGGCTCCGTGTCTCTCTCTTCCTGCTGCCTGCCAATCCAGATGTAGAAATCTCAGCTCCTTCTCTAGCACCAAGTCTGCCTGTGAGATGCCATGCTCTTCGCCTTAATGATAAGAGACTAAACCTCTGAACTGTCTGCCAGCCCCAGTGAAATGTTTTCCTTTATAAGAGTTACCATCGTTATAGCATTTCTTCACAGCAACAACACCCTAAGACACTTTTATTTATTTTATTTTTATTTTTTTGTATGGGTGTTTTGCTAGCATGCATGTTGTGTACCATGTGTGTAACGCCTGTGGAGGCCAGAAGATGATGTAGGAACTATAGTTACAGGTGATTGGGAATCACCATGCAGGCGCTGGGAATTGAACCCAAGTTCTCTCCAAGAGTAGTCAGTGCTCTTAACAACTGAGCCATCTCTGCAGACCTGCTGTTTGTTTGTTTGTTTGTTTGTTTGTTTTGAGACAGGGAGTCACTACAGAGTCCAGCAGATCATTATATAGGCCCAGGATTTAAGCCTTGAATCCTATGTATGTGTGTGAAGGGTGTGTGTGTGCTGTGAGTGTTGTGGATGTACATGTGCGTATGCTTGTCAAGTGTGTTTGTGGGGTGTGTTCATTTGTTCTATATAGTTCTCTGCTCACTCTCAAAACTTTACTGTCAGAAATTATAGTTTTATATAGTATCACAACCGCTGCAAATGTATAATTATTGTTTTATCCTATGGTCTTAAACAGATCCTTCTGCTATATCACTCTAGCTAGCACCTCTTCCTCAATCCATGCTGAAAAATCTCGAGCTTGCCATTTCTTTTAGCTGGTCCAGTGAGTTCCCCAAGTTCAAATTCCAGACAGCTTCCCAACTTGGTCTCGCTACTCTTCCTAACGCTACTCATCCTGTGGCTTGGTCGGTCCATATCGCCAGTCTTCTCCCAAGCAGGCAATCTGCCTTCCACTGTCTGCATCTCCATCTCTGCTAATGCCGTTTAAATGACGGGGACATTTTTGTGCCATTTACATGACACATGTCTCCTATTACTTGCCTCTGTTCGTGTTTCCTTTTCTTTTTTTAAAAAAATAGATGTTTAGTGCCTTACCCTTCGATAGAGCCACAGCAGTGAGGCAGGCAGTTGTTGTTTCTAATCATCAGGGGGGCACTGAGCAAACAAACTAAAAAAAAAAGAAGAAGAAGAAGAAAGAAAGAAAGAAAGAGAGAGAGAGAAAGAGAGAAAGAGAGAGAGAAATTAGAAAGCTAGATTCCATGAGGGAGGAGAGGATGAATCCAAATTGTCCCCATTCGGAGAGAAGCTGTACTAATGTTCAAGTACCCACTTGCCTTGCCTTCCTTCCCAGTTAATCATTCTGAGAGCCCAGTTCTTCCCAGTTCTTCCACAAGAAATTTAAGAATTAGTGGCAGACATTGAGAATAGAAATAACTTTGAAAAGACAAAGAAAACCCCGTGATAAAAAGGGAGCTGTGTCTCTCACTGAGTGCTGGGATTAAAGGTGTGCACCGTCACTGCTCAGCTCATTTTCTGTCTATCTTAACATGTGCTGTCTGCCTTGCCTTTCTGTAGTCTCTTGAAGAAATGTTCAGATGTGGACCTCTCCTTCCCCCAGTCACCACCAGGCTCCAACGTCTTCAGTGGTACAAAGAGGGGGGCTTTGTTTCTCACCTCGTACCGGGTAATTAATACTTTCCTTTCGATTGGCTGATCAGTTTACATTTGTTTGTTCCTAACGCTTAAAAAAAGTTAAACATTGGGTTTGAAGGTGTTTTAAAACATTTTTACTTTGAGACTTCCATTTTGAAGAAGGATGGAAGAAAAGAGATGTTTCTCAATTAGGCCACAGTGCCCAAGTGACCTTGACCTAGCTTTTGGAAGTCTATCTATGGACAAATTCCGTATTCCTTTCCCAAAGTTTCCTTCCTCACTCAGGTGATTTTTGTGACTTCACGTTCAGACAACGATTCCCTGTTGTCTTTTACGATGCCATTTCATCTAATGAATAACTGCACCGTTGAACAACCAATCTTTGGTGCAAACTACATTAAAGGGACAATTCAGGCAGCTCCAGATGGTAAGTTTTTTCCTCTTAGAAGTGCCTCACCCACACCCCAGAAAAGATACTAGAAAGCTTAAGACTAAGACTTGTTTCATGTTAGAATTCAAACAACAGCTGACCTGCCTGTTTGAGAGTGTTCTTCAGTGTGGGTAAGCAGTTGCCATTTCTTCCTCCAGGTGGCTGGGAAGGCTCTGCTACTTTTAAAATAGTCTTCAGGAAAGGAGGTGCCATCGACTTTGCCCAGTTGATGGCTAAAGCTGCCTCTGCTGGTGAGTGGGAAAACCAGTATAAGCTTTGGAGGTTAAGGGGTTGAAACAGGACTGCTACTCAGCAGATACTGGCTAGCCTGGTGTTAGACATTTGGTATTCTAGATGAATTAATTCAACAAGCATGTCTGAGTTTACTTATTATGTGTCAAATCCCACACTGTGTGCTTATGAACCTCACCCTGTCCTGGAGGAGATGGAGGGTCTGTGGTCAGACATCTACATGACTAACCTAAAACTGCTGGTCTTCTGTGCCACATCCCGCACACCCGGATACCTGACTGGAGTGGCTTGGGAATGAAGAACAAACATGTCCACGTACAGGATAGCTGCAGAGGGGGTTTGCTCACTGGGATTGAGCAGCTCCACGAGCAGCCCAGAAAGTCAAGAGTGTGGCTAGGAACAGCACAAGCGGAAAGGTCAGGTATTCTCAGTGGAGGGCTGTGTGTGAGCGGTCTCAGGCTGGGGACAGCCAGCACTTTCTAAGATCTCTGTCAATATTTGTACATGGATCACAGGAAGGCTTTGCCAATTCCCTGAGCCTGGCCTGGGGAAGGCTTTGCCATGTGCATTTGATCTCCTCACCTTGGCCTTGCTTCTCCTGTTTGCTCTTACCATCCATAAGAGGGGACTGTCCTACACTCCTGACCTCATGGCTTTCTGTGACTGCTACGTTTCTACCTAACCCGGCTTCACTTTGTGCTTCGCACTCTTACAGTCCACTCAAACTGCTTTGTGCCGTATCCACTCTTCCCTGGGTTGTCATTTTGTTCCGTCATGGAAGGCTCTTTCCCTTTCTTTTTTTGCTGTCCACCTCAAACTCCAATCTAGATGTTAAAAACACAGTGCAGCCGGGCAGGGGTGGCGCACGCCTTTAATCCCAGCACTTGGGAGGCAGAGGCAGGCGGATTTCGGAGTTCGAGGCCAGCCTGGTCTACAGAGTGAGTTCCAGGACAGCCAGGACTACACAGAGAAACCCTGTCTCGAAAAACAAAAAACCCCACAGTGCAGTGAAGATGGACATTCACAGACACATATGTTTGCTTTAACAGAGGCATGAATACGGTGCAGCAGATAAAATGGAAGGAGGGTATAATGTGTCCGAGTTACTGTAGTGAGTGAACCGTGATGCTGTGTATCGTGGTCAAGACCCATAATTAGGGTACATCTGAGAGATGAGTTCAACCTAAAGACAAGTAACACAGCTGGCACTTTTTCCTGTTGACTGTAGTGGGCAGTGGTGTGAAGCCTTTACAATGGTCAGTTTGATGCTCATAAAACCTTATGACAAAGATACTAGTATTCTGCTCACTTGGTAGATGGGGGAACAAATTAAGGGGTGGTTATATAGTAAATACTGTTAGGCCCCTAAATAACAACAGGCAACGGGATAAGGTTGCTATTCTCATGAAGTATGCAGTTTAAGAAAAGGGCCACATGGATTTTTTACCTGGTACCACAAGACTATTGTTGGCTCACATGTAAGGTGGCAGCCAGTACTGATGGTTATTCAGTTCATAGCTGACGTATACCTGATGTAAAAGAATAAAGAGTTCTTATTTTGCCAAATTGTCTTCTCAGCTGCCCAAGGATTTCCACTCAGAGTTGCAAGCTTCTGGATGGGCCCTCTAGGAATTTATGTCATCACTGGGGACAGGAGCATGTATGCCCCACAGGCATGCCAAGGTGAGGTGTGGGACAGGTGGTCTAGGAAGTAGAAAATTGTGCCCAACCCTCGAAGACAGTTCACCACAGCGTTGCTTCAGGGTTTCGGGTTATCACGGCTTTGTTTCATGGTTGAAACACAATAGTAAGTAAGCAAATGACTGGACTTGCAGTTCAGATTTCATTCTGCTTGCTTGCCTGTAAGTAAGTCTGTGTGTTTGAAATGGAGCTGGCCTGGAATTCACCGTGCAGCTTCAGCCCGCTGAGTACTGCCGGTGTGTGTGCGCGGTGTGTGTGCGCGGTGTGTGTGCGCGGTGTGTGTGCGCGTTGCAGACTTACTTTGATGGTGGTGCATAGGAGCACCTAGGCAACTCCCGCTAGTGAGGCGCTCGCTTCCTACTGAGAGCATGCACAGAAAACAGTTCCGCCCACCTCATCTCCTACGTTACACTATCATGGCATCAAGCCTACCAAGCCTCCCAGCCCCACCCTGAGCTTCACAACCTACCATGCCTAAGATGGAGGAAGCTGCAGGCTTCCATGAAGACCTGGCTTGAGCGAGGAACCATTCCATTTATTTATGATGTTTTTGAGATAAATGTTAAAATAATATCTCACTTTGAAATCCAAGATTAAAAAACTGTATACATATCTAGCTTCATATTGATCACAGGCGTCCACATCCCAGGGGCATCTCCCTAGGCTGTCCATGCCTGTCGGCAGTTTTCAGCACTTGAAGGCTGACTCGAAACCAAAGGAGACCGCAGAGTATCTGAGGAATTAACAGTGCACAGCAACAAGAAAATGAACTAGAGATAGTGTCAAGAGAGCCTTAATGGAGGCTGGAGAGAGGGCTCAGCTGTTAAGGGTACTTGCTGCTCATCCAGGGGACTGAAGTTCAGTTCCCAGCACCCACACTGAGTGGTTCACAACTACCTGGAACCAGCCCCAGGGGATGCGATGTCCTCTTCAGACAGGCATACTCATGAAACACATGCACAGACATACATACATAAATAAAAATAAAACGTGGGGTGTGGTGGCACACACTTCTAGTCCCAGCACTCAAATTTCAGAGGCAGAGGCAGGTGGATCTCTTCAAGTTCAAGGCCAGTCTGGTCTACATAGTGCGTTTCAGGACAACAGAGAGACCTTGTTTCAAGTAGTAATAATAATAATAATAATAATAATAATTTTTTTTAAAAAAAGAACTTTTAATGTCAGACCCAAACAGCACTTTAGAGTACAGAAAAAGAAATGTTGATTCTTTCTTAGGGTTCCCATCTTCTCTCTGTGTTGGATTTCTGCTACTGAGATAATTATTAAAAGAAAGGTTTTGTTATTGTTTTGAGTTGGGTCTCATGTAGCTCAGGCCGATCTCCACCTTACTGTGTAGTTGGGATGTCCTTGAACTTCTGATCCCTCTGCCTCTCCCTCCAAGTGCTGGGCTTATAGGTATCCAGTACCATACTTAGTTTTAAAGACAAGCTCTCCCACTGTGGGTCAGTCTGGCCTGGAATTTATTCTGTAAGCCATGTTGGTCTTGAACTGTGGTAGTCCTTGCCTCAGCCTCACCTGGTGCTAGGGTTATGGGTATGAGCTTGTTGTTGTTTGTTTGCTTGTTTTGTTGTTGTTTTGCTTTGTGTGTGTGTGTGTGTGTGTGTGTGTGTGTGTGTGTGTGTATGCTATAACATTCATGTGGAGGTCAGCGGACAGCCTGTGGGAGTCATGTGGCTCCCAGGGATTGAACATGGGTTGTAAGGCTTGGTGGTACAGGCCTTCATCTACTGAGCCATCTTGTTGGCCCTTTGTTTTTATTTTTGTGGTTGGTTGGATTTCTGTTGTTGCTGTTGTTTTCTTTCTGGGTCAGGCTCTCACGGTATAGCCTGGACTGACCTGGAACTTATTATGTAGATCAAGGTGGTTTCAAATGTAAAGGTTTGCCTGCCTGTGCCTCCAGGTTAAAGATGCGTGCCACGGTTCCCAGCTGTTGCTTTTGCCCATGAATTCAGCATCTATCTGAACCTCACCTAGTATTGAGATTATAGGGCTGCAAAACCCTACCTGGATGTCTGTGGCTTTTTACTGAATGTAAGTCATGATGTATGAACAGAACCAGATTGTGGGTTTTAGTGTGAGGTTTTACTCTAATCTTGGTAGGAGTGAGACTCTTCAGTTCTTCTCTGGTTGTAGGTGCCAGGGGCTTTTGTTTCTCGTTCCCCCTTCTGTTGTCTTTGCCTTTTCATAGTAAATACAGCATGCATCTGTGTTTTCCTCGCTTATTGTTACACTGAAGCCCAGTTTCTGGCCTTTCTATTCACTGACTCCATGTTTTGTGGTAGAATCTTAATTCATTGATGGATTTTCAGCTCATCTCTCTTTTTAAATTGTTTTTAAAAGATTTACTTATTTATTATATATGAGTATACTGTAGCTATCTTCAGACACACCAGAAGAGGATATCAGATCTCATTATAGATGGTTATGAGCTACCATGTGATTGTTGGGAATTGAACTCAGGACAGTTGGAAGAGCAGTCAGTGCTCTTAACCGCTGAGGCATCTCTCCAGCCCTCTTTTTAATTGTTATATGGAGATGGAAATGATGGTTTCCAAGCTGTTCTTCCCGCAACCCCCCCCACCCCCACCCCAGGGTTTCTCTGTGCAGCCCTGGCTATCCAGAACTTCCTCTGTAGAACAGGCTGGCCTCAAACTTAGAGATCTGCCTGCCTCTGCTTCCCAAGTGCTGGGATTAAAAGTGTGCAACACTACCAGCTGGCTGGTTTCCAAACTCTTAACTTGTTCTACCTCAGATATTGGACATGTGAGACTATCTCAATTTTATGTCCTTCTGTTCATCTGGCTTATTGACTTAAAAGGCAAGTGTGTGTCATGACCAAGGACAGCAGACATCATTCTATTTTTTAAAAAAATATGGTTTTACTATTTGTCTTAATGAGCGTTTCCATTGCTGTGAAGAAAGACCGTGACCAAGGCAACTCTTATAAAGGACAATATTTAATTGGGGCTGGCTTATAGGTTGAGGTTTGGTCCATTATCATCACGGCAGGAAGCATGGCAGCATCCAGGCAGGCATGGCACTGGAGGAGTTGAGACTTCTACATCTTGTTTTGAAGGCCAACAGAAGACTGGCTCCCATATTGCTACGAGGAGGGTCTCAAAGCCCACCCCCACAGTGACACACTTCCTCCAACAAGGGCACACCTACTCCAACAAGGCCACACCTCCTTCTTAGTGTCACTCCCTAGGCCAAGCATATTCAAACCACATTATTTTAAGTTATAATGTAATTATATCAGTTCTCCCTTCCCTCTTCTTCCTTCAAACCCTTCCATTCTCTCTTTCTCTGCCTCTCTCTGTCTCTCTGTCTCTCTCTGTCTCTCTGTCTCTGTCTGTCACACACATACACATACACACACACACACACATACATACACTGCTATATTTCAAACTCATGGCCTCTCTTTTTCTTTAATTGTAGTTGTGTGTGTGTATTCTTAAATATATAAGTAAAATCTGCTCACTTATATGTAAATGTTTTCAGGGTTGACCATCTGGTATTGGATAACCAGTTTGTGTGGCCTTTTCTGTGGAAGACTATTTCTTCTACTCTCAGTAGTCCTTTGTTGCCTATAGTTTCTTTGCCTAAGGTTGAAACTTTCTGGGCCTTCCCCTTCCAGAGTACATGTCTATTGGTGTCTTCCTCCTTCAAGTCATGTTTAAACAGCCATGCTGGTAAGACTTCATGAGTTAGCTTCTCTGACATTTTTAGGAGACAGTACTGGAGGAGAAAGGTAATCATCAGTATCACCCAGCTACACACCCTGTGATCTGTAACACCAATCTACCTACAAGATATACTAATACAGTAGTGCTACAGATGTCATGGAAGTAACCAGACAATTTCTATTGGCTTTAAGGTCCACTCTATTAAGGAACCCATACCTGACACTCATGCTTAAATGGCCAAGAACCTGAGACTAGGTAGATTATGAGCCCAGGGGAAGAACTAATACTGTTATTATGCTAAAGGAACATAACAATGAACATTTCCTAATGACATATGATATACCCATTGATTAGCGTGTCACTCAGTCCTCATCAGAGAAGCTTCTTGTTACAGGGGATGGTAATTAACACAGGGGCTCACAACTAGACAAATGCAGAGAGAGAGAGACAGAGAGAGAGAGAGAGAGAGAGAGAGAGACAGACACACACCTTGGAGCACTCAGTCCTAAATGGGATGTTTTCATCAGTCCTGTCTTTCTTTTCCATTGCTGTGAAAAGACACCACGATCAAGGCAATTTATAAAATAAAGCATGTCACTGAAGGGTTGCTTACTTATAGCTCCAAAGAGTGAGTCCATGGTTGTCATGGTGAGGAGCATGGTGGCAGACAGGTGGGCAGGGTGCTGGAGCAGTCGCTGAGCTTTTATAGCTTATAAAGAAAGCAGACAAAGTTAAGTCTAGGCTTGGTATGAACCTCTGAAACCTCAAAGCCACCCCAGTGAACACCTCTTTCAACAAGGCCACACCTCCTAACCCTTTCTCAACAGTTCACCAGCTGGAAACCAAGTATTCAGATACATGACCATACAGGTACCACTATTCTCATTCAAACCACAAACAAACAAACAAACAAACCCCCAAACCAAACCAAACCAAACCAACAACAACAAATAACACTCCCCTAAAGGCTCAGGGATCTGTGCAGAAGAGGAAACAGAAAGATTCTAAGAGCCAGAGGTGACAGATGACTCTAAGGAACCAATGTCTTCAAAACACAACAGGACTGATGTATATAACTCACAGAGACTGACAGCACACACAAGACCTTCACAAGTTCAAAACAGACAAAAATCCCCTTATCTAGAAGGGGGAGTGGACACAAAGTAGCTATTTGAAACGGATACCTTCTGGGAAAGGAAAAATTAGTTTCTCCAATGGAGTGTCGCTGGGTGTATCAACCACACCCCAGGGGGAAGAGGAGGCTGGAAGACTGGGAGGAGTTGGGGGAAAGAACTGGAGTTGTAAATGGTTGTACCATGTAGAACTGGTAATTGAACCAGTCCTCTGAGAGCAGCCAGTGCTTTTAACTACTGAGCCACGGCTCCAGAGCCACCCCTCCTCTAAAATGACTTTGCCCGTTCTAGTTTCCAAATTATACTCCTTACTGAGGGTGTTTCTCTTTTCATAACCACAACAAACGTTACCAAATAAAATATGTATCTGCACAACTCTAAGTAATGACCAGTGCAACGAGAAGGCTATTTCAAGTTAATTCAGATCACCTCACCAAAGAAACACCACCTTCCCCTGGTAATGGCTAAAGATCAGGTTTTTAGCATGGCTCGATTCTCGCGTGTGTTTTTCTTGACCTTATTTTTTGTATTCTTCAGTTATTCTTTGTTCACAGGGTAGTAATGTTTTTCCTTCTTTTTGCCATTCTCAGTTGCCTATGGAGCCCCACATGGGGCCTATGGAGCCCCACCTGCGGGATACGGAGTCCCACCTGCGGGGTATGGAGCCCCACCTGTGGGATACGGAGTCCCACCTGCGGCGTACGGAGCTCCACCTGCGGGATACGTAGCCCCACCTCCCAGATATGATGTCCTGCCTCCTGGATACGGAGCCGTGAGATTTGGATCCCCTCCTCCACTATACGTAGCTACCCCTGTGGGCTACGGAGTTCCACCTCCTGGGTATGGACCTCCACCTGTGAGATACGGATCCCCACCTCCTGGATATGAAGCCCCCGTTATGGAGTATGGAACCCAACCTCCCAGATACGTAACTACACCTATGGGATCCGGTTCCCCACCTCCCGGATATGAAGCCCCGCCTATGGCTTATGGAACTCCTCCTTCAGGGCGTGAGTCCCAACCCCCTGGATCCACAGCCCTGTCTGTAGCACAGGAAGCTCCACCTGCTGGGTCTGAAGCAGGCCACCTCACGTCTGCGGCAGCCCAGAATCCTGAATTTCAGGCATCTTTTCCCTCTGCCTCGACTTCACAGGCCCATTCTCCCCCTTCAAAGATGTAAACCTTGAAGTTTCACCAAGCAAAACCGCACCCTAGTGTTGAAGTCAAGATAACACGGAGCACTTAGGCATCTGATCACAGACCCGTACTAGGTAGTTTGTCTCCCTCCTTGGGAGTTCAGTCACAGGGGGAAACCAAGCCTTATCTCCATGCCTTGATTTTAGACGCAGTGTCAATACTTGGTTAGCTGGATAAAGAAGGAACAGCGCCAGAGGGTTAATACCCTAACGACTTGCTTGACATAGGATGCATTTAAAACATACCTTGATGTGTGTTTGCAAAAAGCCTCCTGCCTTCATGCTCATCTGTGTTCAAAGCTGCTATACTACTCTGTTTGGTAGTTACTAAGAGCTGTTAAAATGTCATGTTGAGAGCTGGGCCTGGTGATCCAGGCCTGAAACCCCAGCAGCCAGAGAGAGTCAGAAGGATGGCAAGTTCAAGGCTTGCCTGCACTGTAAAGTCAAAGTCTGCCTAGGCAGCTTTGTGAGATCCTGTTTCAAAAACTATAAAAATGGGGCCAGGGACAGAGCTCAGTTGTTGTGTGCTTGCCTTAGTATGCTGATGGTTGTAGGTTTAATCCCACTGATTAATTAAAAATTGTGTGCTAGGGATGGGTGCACACATCTGTAATCCCACAGCACTTGAGAGGCAGAGGCAGGAGGCTTGGAAGTTCTAGGTCATCTCTGGCTATATTGGGAGTTAACTGTCAGCCTGGGCTACATTAGAAACTTGCCTTAAGCCGGGCGGTGGTGGTGCACGCCTTTAATCCCAGCATTTGGGAGGCAGAGGCAGGCGGATTTCTGAGTTCGAGGCCAGCCTGGTCTACAGAGTGAGTTCCAGGACAGCCAGAGCTACACAGAGAAACCCTGTCTCGAAACCTTCCCTCTCCCCCCGCCCCCCAAAAAAGAAACTTGCCTTAAAAGGAAAATCCAAACTGCGTCATATTGAACATGGCTGGTTCATACAGTGTTCTTTACATTAGTGAAAGACTAGGATAACATTAATTTCCAGTGAGAGAGGGTCTTATAAATGGTAGCATATACATATAATAGAACAGCATGTAGATGTGGGAAGTGTAGAGAAGGCAGCCTCTAATAAGACAAAACAGTAAGGGGTAAAAAAAATCCCAGGTCCAAACCAGCAGACTAAGGTAGTAATTTCCAGCATGTGCGTTAACAGTCTGTGGTCAGAATATGTGAAGAGCCGGAAGAGAGAGGTAGGGTCGGGGAGATGGTCAGTTGCTCACATGCTTGTGAGAAGCGTAAGGGCTTGAGGTCGATCACTAGCACTTATAAGACGCCAGACCCAGCTGCACACATCTGTGATTCCTGTTCTGTGGGTGGGAACCAGTGATTCCCACTAGCTTGTCAGCCTGAATCAGTAAGCCCCAGATTGGAGACCTTGTTTCAGATAGGGTGGAGAGCAATTGAGGGTCACACCCGACTCTGACCTCTGACCTCTTCAAGCCCATGCACACACATGCATGCACACCTTCGTAAACATTTTTAACATTAAAAAGGAAAAAATGTACATGTGACAAAAATATATGCATTACCAATTAACAATGGAGGTAACAGAGGCGGTAACATTTATGACAAAGTACTTAAGGGAATGCTAACTCAAGTGGTGCTGGGAACTTTGACTCAAAATGAGAAGACATTTCCAGATGTTGAATGACTTTGCTCCTGCACTGCTGAGGATTGAGCCCAGGCTGGTACACACACTGGCCACACTCGACCACTGAGCTGCCTTCTCCACCCCTATTAAAATCTTTGCTATAGCAGTTTGGAATCTCAGTGTCCCCCCACTAAGGGATACTGGCACGTCCCACGAAGATGCATATGGAAAAGGTCTGTTGCTTTGCGTCTAATAGCACAAAATTAGAAATAACTTACATGATGGTTAGTTTCTCCTGTCAACTTGATCGGACTGAGGAACACTTGAGCATAGTGAGACACTCCTCTGGGTGTGTCTTTGAGGCTGTTTCTAAAGGTTTAACTGTGAAAAATCACTCTGAATGCATGTAGGCAACACTGTCCCATGTGCTGGGGTCCTCAGTGGAATAAAAAGGGAATCAAGGAGAAAGGGTAGGTGGGAGGGTCTTTCCCATTTCTCTGCTTCCTGAAGAGTGCTGTGGACCCACACACTCCTACCACATGTCTCCTGTATGAGAATGGGCTGTAAGTCTTTGAACTGTGAGCCCCAAACACCCTTTCTCCCAGAAGTTGCCTTTTGTAGATTATTTGGTCACAGTAGTGACAATAGTAATTTAAACCCATGCCCATTGATATGAAACCTAGAAACTGGCACACCCATGCTGCATATGCCAGCCATTTCTAAGACTTATTAAATGAGAAAAGCAAGTTGTGGGAGGTGTGTCATAGTCTTCATCCCATTAGAACGAAACCCTTCTACAGCGTATTTGTAGCAAATATATTTTAAACTGTGAATAGTGATACATACCTGCAGTTCCAACATTTGGTGACTGAGGTAGAATCACATACTCAAGGTCTGCATGAGTTACACTGAAACTTTATCTTCAGAAAACAAAAATGTATTTACATGTAATAATATCTTGTAACATGCCAGGCATAGTCAATAGTTCCATATGATTCCACACAATTTCAACTAAAATTATTGATACCATAAATGTCATATAAGGAGGGTATAGAAGTAGCTATTACTCAAATTTTAAGGTTTTGGTTTGTGTGTGTATGTGTGTATGAATGTATAAGTATATGGATTTGTGTGTGTGTTTGAGTGTATGTGTGTGTGTAGACCTGGTACCTATGGAGGCAAGAGGTCAGATTACCGGAAACTGGAGTTACAGGTTCATTCTTTATATGCCTTGATTCCTTTTTTTGTGTGTGTGTGAAGAGTGTTTACCCTGTGCCATTATATGTTGGAAGCATGTGACTTTGATTTTATAGGAATTTACAGTTAAGAGAGTGGATTTTTAAAATGTTGGAACTTTTTTTTTTAAGAGTTTTTTTTTTTTTGAAAGTTTTCTTCTGTGTGTAACCCTAGTTGTCTTGGAACTTGCTCTGCAGACCAGGCTGGCCTCTGTCTCCCAAGTGTTGGAATTAAAGGTGTGTGCCACCACTGCCTTACTTGACTCTGGGGACTTTTAAAGTTGAATCGATTCGTGCCAGCCCTTGGGAGGCAGAGGCAGGCAACTCTCTAGGAGTTTGTGCTGAGTCCTGCCTGGCCATGGCATGGATGGTGTCACACGGGTCCTAGACCAGGAAACGAGCCAGCAGGGTGTGCACCTACACAATTTATTCATTATTTCATGTTCCTCCTTCAGGAGAAGTTCTCCCTGCCAAAGTTATTGGGAAATGTACCTCCCATGGAGTTAATGACTCCATGATAATCAGAGATAGCACAAGTCTGGGAGGCTAGGGTGTGTCTAATGTCTCAGCAAAATGGTAGAATGCTCTGACCTTCAGGACAGCCCTTAAGGCCTTGAGAAAGAACACTACAAATATGAGTTGAAAAATATTTAATTTCTCTCTCTCTCTCTCTCTCTCTCTCTCTTTTTTTTTTTGTTTTTTTTGTTTTTTTTTGGTTTTTCAAGACAGGGTTTCTCTGTGTAGTCCTGGCTGTCCTGGAACTCACTCTGTAGACCAGGCTGGCCTCGAACTCAGAAATCCGCCTGCCTCTGCCTCCCAAGTGCTGGGACTAAAGGCGTGCGCCACCACCACCCGGCTAATATTTAATTACTCAACTATGCAAAATATAAGGAAGTTCCTTGTATAAGGAACTTCACAGATGTAAAGGAGCAGAGGCAGCTGCACCGTGAGCCAGCTTGTCAGGAAGATCCTAAGGAAGGAGGTAAAGAGAGTTAGGAAGTGGTGATCGCAGGGAAAGATCCCACCAGGCTAAGTTGGGTTTTTTTTGTTTTTGTCTATGCTTACACACACACACACACACACACACACACACACACACACACACACACAGGTTGCCTCCCAACACAGTGGTTCACAGCCATGGGAAACAGCAGTTCCAGGGAATCTGACCCCATCTTCTGACCTCTGCATACAGCAGGTACACACATGTGCACATACATATGTGCATCCAAACACTCATACATTTAAAATACTTTAAGTCTAAAAAAGAAAGGCTACTTGCTATGATTTGATTTTGGTGCTCCATGTATACAAAATAACCATTTACTCTGTTTAGACAAATCCAGTAAGAATTTAGCAAGGCCTACTGCATACTCAAAGCACTGTGCTGGGTCCTGCAACAGCCCACTACACTTGAGACACTTCCTGTGTCATCAGACTCCACTCCTCTTCCTATCTCTTTCTTACCTTCCATACAGAAGTTTTATGGTCTACTCATTCGCCTAACCTGTCTTAGGAGTATGAAGGGTTGGAAAAAATGAACACCTTTAAGCCTGTCAGAGGACTTGCAAAATAAACCCCAAGTGTTCCTCTCTATGGGTGAGTACATGTCCAACAGCCTTCCAGACGGAGTCTTCCCTTGTCAAGTGAAGGGATATATAGGCTGTATAGCTGGTGTGTTTTCAATTCATAGATTAACACACACAAGCAATAGTATATGCCTTTGTTTCTTTAAATTTCATTATGTTGCTAAGGTTCTGCCCAATTATCTGTCTAGTTTTCTCCAGGTTGGGCAAAAGTATCTAAATGTCAGATTGCTACTTTTTGGTCTTGCAGTCCCCTCAAGTCTAAACACTTGGGACCCTGGGACCTTAGGGGAATCTTTAAACCAGTATGTCAAAGATTTAACCTTATGTCAGCACAGGGCCCTATTGCCTACTCTTCAAGAGACCTACAGTTTTCTCCCCAAACACCCAGACCTCCCTCTCAGCTGCTGTGGATCTTCATCCTCCCCACCTCCTGAGCACACCCTTGGTGTAAGCTTAGGATCTGAGTTCCACAGAACATAAGTGTGGGCCTTTGCCTTCACACCGACTTGTCTTTCCTTGTTCAGCACCTGATTGTTTGAAAATCTTGTATGTGCTGAGTATCTTCAAAACAAAAT